ATCGCCCCGGGTGCCAATCCATGCTACGCCGCCACTGCGTAATCATTTGACAGTTCATAACGTACGATAAAGTCAGTTAAACAAAACGTTTGACAGAATAATCGTGGGTACATGTCGGTGAGTCGCCAACCTGACTTCTTTGTAGATATTCTTCGTAAGTCGTCATCATGTGCAACCAGCTTACCAACCACATCAGCGACGCCATGCACATGTCGGTGAGTGCCTTAGATAGTCTTCAGGCATAACCATCCACAGTGAAGTCATTAAGATTCGAGGATCAATTAGTTTGCATGCATAGGTCAATGAGTCATCAACATTAGAAAATGATCTTGCAGGTATATCGATCGACAGATGCGTCATGATGAGAGGAAACAAGGTTGCAGGTGTATCCATCAATAGCGGCGTCATCAAGCGAAACCAACTAGGGCAATAGAAAGCTTGAAAGAAGATTGACCATGTAAATGACGCTTAGCACTTGTCGATTTTCCTCGATAGGTCCTTCAGATTTACCGTTAAATAGCGACACCGTGTACCATGTATCCCAATGTAAAACTAGCTTGAGAAGTTTGCGATTACCTATAAATGGCTAAGCAGATACATAATTTAAGGTCCCATTATTTGTATTGTATTGCTGTTGGTTTTCCGAATAAAATAAAATAAATAAATTATGTGTCTGAAAGAAGCTTGAGCACATTAGCGAGATCAGCGTACTTCAGGTCCGGTTACCACCAAGGTGGAGAGGAGAAATGTTTTGAACAACCAATTAGACGTCATTCAGATATCATGAAATTGTCAGAATTTCTTCGATCCGCTCCACGTTGATGGAACCGGACCTTAGGCTAAAGCCCGGTCTCTGAGCATGTACAATTTTGTCCAATGATCCCAAGCTACCCATCTTTATCACTCGCGCGTAATTATGTTGCTGTTGCGCTCGCACACTCACTGCGGGCGCCCGTCGCACAGTCGCGTCAGCAATATAATTATGCGCGAGCGATAAGGATAGGTAGCTTGGGGTCATTGGACAAAATTCTACGTGCTCGGCGACCAGACTATAGACCCTTGATGTACTCGTAAATGAACTGACATGGTGTCATGTGGTGCACCCGCAGGCAGCCCTCCAGAGCCCGGTGCTGCGCTCAGTCCTGGAAGACTTGTTCCTGGTGCGGCGCGTGCAGACCGTGGCCGAGGTGTTTGCCATGTGCGTGGGCTCCGCGCGCGCCTTCAGCGGCGCCGGCGCGCCCGCGCTCGCCGACGACGCCGCGCTCTGCAAGCCGGTCAGGAGGTACTGTGCTCAGCTCTCGTTCCTGAGGTCAGCAGACCGAGGTTGAGGTGTTCCCATGTGCGTGGGCTCAGTTTCAACGTTCACTAAACGGATCGACGCACCTCCGAAGCGAATCACTGGGGGTCTCTGGAGTTTTCCCCTGATCGTGATCGTAGATGACTTGGCAGGGGAAAAACCCAGTCTGTTACCAAACTTAAGATCTCGGCGGCCGCTGCTTCTATGGTAGCCCTCGAGTTTGCCTCGATCAAAATGGTGACGTCGTTGGCGTAAGCCACCATGCTAACCCCCCGGCATTGGCAATCGCAATGTATTCCCGTATTTGCACGTCAAGATTTGATTTTTTTCTGCCATTAATGACACTCTTGTATAAACGTGTGTCCTGTCAGGTTCACGGCGGAGTACGTGTCGCGCTGCGTGCTGGGCGTGCACTCGCGCGCGCTGGCCTGCGCGCTGTGCCTGCTGCTGCGCCGCGCCGCGCTCGACCTGCACGCCGAGGTCGAGCAGAAGGAGATCGGTACGGTCACGTGGCTTTATTACGAGAAGGGTTTTAGATACCATGGGCGTGTCGAGGGAGGTAAATTCTATGCCCTGTCGTAGCTACTATGCAAAAGCTATTAAAATCAGATTCGCATCCAACTTTGATCAACATGCCCCTTTCTCTCTGGCCTAGAATCCGATGGTCTCAGGCAGGGTACTCACCTGCTATGTAGCACGTAACGTAGCATGTAACGTAACCAACCTTCAAGTGAGTACGGCTCATACGGGTCATTGAATCCTACGAGCTGTCTTTGTGCTCGCAGGCAGTGATACCGCCACTCGGCGGGTCGCTGCGATCTCCCACCGAACCACGCGCGAGCATACGGCTCGTGCCTATGTAAGAAAGAAAGAAAGAAAGAAACATTTATTGCCATGGACATTGGACATCACAAAAGACAAAAGAGGTGAAATAAAAAAAAAGCAAATAAGACAGAGGTGACATAAAACATACAATGAATGAGCAAGTTTAGTAAACTAAGCAGTGCCACCTTGTCGCACAGCGATGCCCATCGCAATGGGACCCCACTCAGCATATGCCGTGGCCCCCGGTGAGGGAAGCCCTCACTTGATATAGTATCTGATACATTACATGCTACACGGCTAGCTGAGTACCTTGCTTCAGGTCCGGTTTCCACCGAGGCGGAGCGGAGATGCGCCAGCAGGACTCATTTTTTTGTAGAATTCGATAGCGGGGGCGGAAATCATTCAAAACACTTCTTCGCTCCTTTTCGGTGGAACTGAGCTTGGAATTTTTATTCAACAAAATTAGCACAAACAAACTGCAAAACTTACATTATTAACATAACTAAATCATTCAATGCTAAAGAATTACAACGCTTCCCATTCTAATAGATTCATAGATTTCTATTTTCTACACTAAGCAAGGCCTGTCCTGAAGACAATCTTATGGCAAAATTTGTCTTTTATAAATTAGCTAATCATAACACACATCCGTCATTATTACATTTGTTAAATTAAAATAAACGATCAATACTTTGTGTCTCCCAGGAGCATCGTGGAGCGTGTCCCTGGAGTCGTTATGCGAGAAGGCGCGCGCATTACATGTTTTGTTAAATAAAATAAACATTTGTGTCTCCCAGGAGCATCGTGGAGCGTGTCCCTAGAATCCCTATGCGAGAAAGCGCGCGCATCCTGGCGCGCCGGCGCCGGCGTGCTCGAGCGCGCGGGAGGCCTGGCCGCNTCTGTCTCCCAGGAGCATCATGGAGCGTGTCCTTGGAGTCGTTATGCGAGAAGGCACGCGCCTCCTGGCGTGCCGGCGCCGGCGTGCTCGAGCGCGCGGGAGGGCTGGCCGCGGCCGCACGCGCCGCGCGTGCCCGCTGCGTGCGCGCCACCGCCGCGCACCGCACGCACGCGCGCGCCGCCGCGCTCGCGCACCACGCGCGGCTGAGAGCGCTGGCGCACGCGCAATTGCACGCCGAGGTCAGTCGCGACTAGAGATTAGGGCATGCAAAAACCGAGCGGTTTGGGAAAACCGAACTTTTCGGTTTTTATTTTTAAAAACCGAACTAAACCGGTTTTTTCGGGTTTTTCGGGTCGACTGTTTGTAAGTAAATAAAAATGCTGCAAATTATAATAAAAATCATTTTATTTCTTTTATATTCTAACTAGCTTTCCGCCCGCGGCTTCGCCCGCGTGGAATTTTGTCTGTCACAGAAAAACTTTATCGCGCGCGTCCCTGTTTCAAAAACCGGGATAAAAACTATCCTATGTTCTTTCCCGGGACTCAAACTATCTCTATGCCAAATTTCATCAAAATCGGTTGCGAGGTTTAAGCGGGAAAGCGTAACAGACAGACAGACAGACAGACAGACAGACAGAGTTACTTTCGCATTTATAATATTATATAGTTGGGATTTGACAAGATGAAGTTACATGTTCTGAACATAATATTGTGAGATCAGTTGAATAGTTTAATTAAAAATCAAATATAAAGAGATCAACAATAGGATACTTCGCTCATTAGCAAAGCAAAACCTTTGGTCATAGTTATGCTTAATTAAATAATATGTAAGTTGACACTGACAGAGACTAGCAATAATAATAATAGCAAATAGCGCACGCGCGCGCTTATAGCTTTACCTAGAAGATACATGGTACTTTAGTTCAATACCATAACCATAGACTATACTCTACTCATTCACATTGCATCACAATAATCGTTTTTATTGTATATGACTAAAGAACGATGTTTCTGTATGAGTTATTAAATTATCTAAAATCGTAAAAGAAAAACCGAAATAATCGAAAGCCCCGGATTTATAACTGACAAAAACCGAGTTTCAAATTGTTTCGGTTATCCGGTTTGCATGCCCTATTAGAGATGTAAATTGACTGAATCTGACCGGTCACGATGATCAATCAATTTGACTCAATATTACTGCACTACCACCAAATAATTTATTCATTTAGGTACCGAATACATTGCTGCGTACGTGCCATTCGCGCACCCTTTTTATTATTACAAGCTTTTTACAAGCTTTATATTGACTTCAAATGTTAGTATGTGTGGGACAAATCTTGCAACTGAATTTAAGACCAGTTCTCCTCAACCGATTGAGCTGAAATTTGGTATACTTATGTAAGTACGATGACAATGCAATGTTATGGTACCATTGAGCTGGTCTGATGATGGAGTCGGGATGTGGCCATAGGAACTCCTAAACAAAACGGCGGAAACTCATCGATTTTGGGTTCGTTGGATTAGTCTTTTCGCACTTTAGTGTTAGATAATGTCCAGGGTCCTGAGATTAAGATATAACTGAAAAATGTAAAATAAAATTATAATAAAAATAAACTTTTTTTAAAAACAAGCTTTTATACTGAATTTCGAAAGCTTGTAGCGCAAACAAAGAAAAAGAGGAATAAATTCCGTGCGCGATACAAGCATTCGAAATTCAGAATAAAAGCTTGTTTTTAAAAAAGTTTATTTTTTTTTGTAAAATAGTGAGATACGGATCTTAACGCGACGTTTATTATAATGTGACTCATTAATAAACTTCGCGTTAAGACCTGTGTCTTACTGTTTTAGTTAAAATGGAACGCGAAAGTTTAAAATCTTACTCTTTATTTGCTTGGTATGCAGGTGGTGGGCGGCGCGCAGGACCCGGGTCCGCTGCTGGCGCGGCGCGCGCGTGAACTCGGCGCAGCTGGAGATAGACTAGCGGCCGCCGCGGCGCGCGCGCAATCGCTCGTCACCGCCGCGCACCAGAGGTAACTACGCTTTTATTTTTATTAAATAAAACATTACATTAACATATAAACATTTTTTCTTTCTTTCTTCTTCTTTCTTTCTATTGTTCACTAGCGGCGCGGCCGCCTGCGACTTCGTACGCGTGGATCCCGTATTACGCCCTTAGGGGTGGAGTTTCGTAAAATCCTTTCTTAGCGGATGCCTACGTCATAACATCTACCTGCATGCCGTCCGTAAAATCCGTTGCGTAATTTTAAAGATAAGATAAGAAGCGTTTATTTAATCTTAGATCTAAGCATACATAATGACAGACGGACAGGAAAGCGACTTTGTTTTATACTATGTAGTGAAGCTGCACAGGAATCGCAATAATGACGTGCCGTCGGGACTACTGACAGTTGTTTGGTCAAAACCGTCTATTTTTATTTTCGTCAGTAGTTCTTTGCCTATGATGTTTCTAAAATAAGGTACCTAGCACATCATCCCACATAAATCGGTTAAGAATTTCGCATCAGTGATTTCGTTACCTCTGATGGTTTCGAAAATGAGACACCTAGCGTATCATCCCATACGAATTGGTAATCTTTATGTCCTTCCGTCCATCTGTTACCCAAAGATCTCCATATTTTAATGACAAAACATTCGTCCTCAGAGTGAAATGGGGCGCCGGCGCGAACCCGGCTCTATCCTGCGTGGTAGTGTCCCTGGAACGCGCGTGGGCCGCACGTCGCGCGCGCGCGCACGCGCTGGCCACGGGAGCACGCCAGCTGAGCACGCACGCACGACGCGCGTCGCTGGCGCGCGCCGCCGCCGCGCGACACAAGCACGCCAAGGCGCTGCGCACGTCACTCGCGCACTGGGAGAAGGTCAGTGACTTACAATACCCGGCGATAAATATTGCACATCTACCTTAAGAAAGAGAAATCGGCTAATTTCGGTTTCGTAGAGCGTTATCACTGTCGCACTTGAACAACGACTGACATAATGACGTTTTGTCAAAGTGTAAACAAACTTTATTTCAAATGTGTGCAATTGATTTTGTGAATTATAATGCTAAAAACTTTTATAGTCGTGAAAGAAAAGTGGTTCACAATATGTTAAAGTATTTTTCGAAGAGAAATACTAAGGGTTCGGACAATATTTTCATTGAATAATGTTTTGTCAATCGTATAGGTAGTGTGCGACAGAGATAACGCTCTACAAGCCGAAATTAACCGATTGTCTCTTTCCAAAGGTCGAAGTGCAATATTTATTGCCGGCTATTGTAAAATATACGTGACTTTTTTTATTTTTGAGAATAAAACGTGAGTAACAATTATAGGAATCTTGAAGGGCCCGAATTGAAAGGCAGCAACACTCGTGAATTTGGTTTACTTCCAAACTCTTGTCGATAAAATTACAGAGCGTTTACAATCTTGCCGGGTGGCCAGAGAAAAGAGAGCTTATAGTTACAGTACCATAGACAAAATAATTTTAAATTTAGTCTTATAAACATGCCGATAGGTGGCGCTCTAGGCGCGTACATAATACACAATTTAATCGTTATTTGAGGTTTATGGGCGAACACTGAGAACTCTTTCGAATTAGACGTTTCGAGCCGGATGTTTATCTTGCGTTTGCGAGACCGCACACCGTAAATTGTATGACAGCTGCGTCGAAATAAAATTGACAGTTACCAATAGTTAGTGTGCGGTCTTGCAAACGCACGACCAACGTCCTGCTGAAAGCGTCTTCAACTTCATATTTGAAAGAACCCTAACATTTGTGACTGAGTGGATGCCCGCTCCTCGTGGAAACCCGTCACAGACTGCGTTGCTTATACTGTTTGCGATACAAACACCTATGACGATGAGGCCCTAAACCATTACGATTTTTTTAATAAAAAAAAATATAAGTAGTCAGCTATTATTACTAAATCTACATTTATTCATATAAGAAGTGAAAAGAAAAACAAAGATTAAAAAATAACATATTTTATTTCAAATAAAATCTCAAAAGTCTTCCAACTTCTTCAATTTTAACCAAAAACATATTAACTAAATTATCTATTCTAAACACATTTATCCAGTATACAAAAGCCTCAGTTCCATCTTCCATGTTGAAGCGTACTGTACATCACTAGAGTCCGGTTTGTTCCTTGATGAAGTCCCGGATGGGTTTGGAGGCGATGTCGGCGAAGACACTCGGCGACAGCGCCTGGCCGCAGCCGCGCCCGTACGAAACTATGCCTACCGCCATTCCGTCTTGGATCGCCGCGCCGCCAGAATCGCCCTGCGACAAGGAGGGAAGATAGATAGATAAATCGTTTATTTGCAAAAACTTAACACACATTATGTATAGTTGCAACAAAACAAGTGACGAAACAGCAGGAGATACAGATGATAAGCACGTATGAAACAATACTTTTAAAATAGTTTCCTGCGTCATGTGATCATAGTGATGTGTTCCGCAGCGATGCAAAAAGCAAAGAGCTCAGTGCAAACTGTATTTTGGCACTTATGAACGTCAAAAATAATAAAAAGGTGAGCTACCTGTAGGGCGCATTTTACCAGCGATAATCTTGAACAATGACAAAACACTCATAATCTAGTTCAAAAGCCTTCAGCTGGCGACCAAAGAAAGTCTCAGCAACTAACAGTAAATACATCTAACCTTAGTTAAAGTCCTCAGGCCTCCCACTAGGTGGGCCGACAATCTGGTGAAGGTCGCGGAAGGTGCCTGGATGCGGGCGGCGCAGGACCGGTATTTGTGGAAAACCTTGAGGCCTTTGTCCAGCAGTGGACGTGTTTCGGCTGATCATCATCATCATCATCATCTCAGCCACAGGACGTCCACTGCTGAACATAGGCCTCCCCCAATGCTTTCCATGTTACCCGGTTGGTAGCGGCCTGCGTCCAGCGCTTTCCTGCTACCTTTATGATATAGTTAGTCCGCCTTGTGGGTGGACGTCGCACGCTGCGTTTTCCGGTACGCGGCCTCCACTCCAGAACCTTGCTGCCCCATCGGCCGTCAGTTCTGCGTACCATGTGCCCTGCCCATTGCCATTTCAGCTTGCTAATCCGTCGGGCTATGTCAGCGACTTTAGTTCGTTAACGTTTCAGCTGATACTAAAGCCCGGTCCGTGAGCACGTAGAATTTTGTCCAATGACCCCTAGCTACCCATCCTTATCGCTCGCGCGTAATTATATTGCTGTCGCGACTGTGCGACTGGCACCCGCAGTGAGTGTGCGAGCGCGATAGCAACATAATTACGCGCGAGCCATAAGGATGTGTAGCTTGGGGTCATTGGACAAAATTCTACGTGCTCACGGACCAGACTATAGCTGATAATAGCATCCCTGTAGTACCTGGCAAGTGCCCTTCCCGCCGAGGAAGAAGTTCCCGGCGCAGAACTCGTTGTCGGTGAGCACGGAGAAGTAGACCAGGCGGCACTGCAGGTGGCTCACCACCGGGATCTGAACGTCCATCAGCCGCTCCGGGATCGTGGCCGCGCCGAACTGCGGGCAAGCGTTGTACAGGGGGCGTCCATTAATTACGTGAGACATTTTGGCAATTTTTCAACCCCCCTTGGTGAGATTTAGTGAGATTTTTCCAGACCCCCTCCCCCTCCCCATAATCTCACGTGAGATTTCTTGAAATACATATTTGCAATGTAAATGGGTAAAATCTATGCTTCGATTAGGATTCAGTATAAAAAAAACTGTTTCTTTTAATTTCTTTATTGTTTAGACGGTTTAGATTAAAAAATTAATCATTATTTTAATTTAAAATAACCTAGTTTTCCCGCAATTTAACCCTTTTTTTAAAATTACGTTATATTTGTCGAGACCCCCGCTCCCCTCTCACCTACGTGAGATTTAATGAGGTTTTTCTTGACCCCCTCTCCCCCTAAACGTCTCACGTAATTAATGGATGCACCCACATGAAAAACCGCGTCCAAACCGGTTTACTACGATACCAATTCAAAAAACTACAACATAGTGATCATCATCGTCTTTTTGCGTCGGGAGTGAAATGAAATATCATGGTTTTCCTAAAAGCTTGTCAGCAAGGGAAGGCGCGCGCAAGACGATTGCGCAGGCGCCGTTATTTTTGTACATACTCATTGCCATCAGCTGTTGGTCACTATAATAATATTGTTTATTGATCTAAATAACGCATCAAAATCTATTCAAATATTCTAGTATTTTTAAATTGAGTGTTATCGGTACACGCTAAATTATCCATGATATCCATGAGTGAATGAGGGTTTTCGCGATTGAAAAATCCGCCAGATGGCAATACGTAGACGCGAGGTCCAAATGCTGCATGATTGGTTATTTTTGACTTGACATTGACAGGTATGTCAAAATCCACCAATCACGCAGCAGTCAGACACTACATCCACGTCCCGCCATCTGGCGGATTTTTCAATCGCGAAAACCCTCATTCACCTGAGTCCTGCCCCACCCGCTGACCACGACGTCGCTGCCGCCCCTCACGGGCCGGCCGAGCGGCGCCAGCGGGATGGGCTGTATAGCCTCAGTAAAGTTGATCTTCTCCGCCGTCTTCATGACGGCCACGTCCTTGTCGAACGCCGGGTCGTCGTAGTTCGGGTGCGGCGTGATCACAGATCACAGAAACTAAAGGGTGATGTGACAAGGGGGCGGGGCCGGTGTCGCAGCAATATGCCCAAAAACAGAACACATTGCTGCAGACGTCATAATGTTGAGTACTGATACCGCAGTGGACAATGAGCACATATTTTGCTTACTTTTTGTGTGTCAATTTCTAATGCGACACTGATTTTCGAACTCAGCGTATTAGTTGGCATCTCTCTATATCTCTATGGGCGTGACGGACGCAATGATGATGACAGCACTAGCACTCACCTGAGTTCTGCCCCACCCAGTTAGGGTGGGGAGTGACTGTCGCTATGAGGATGACGGACGCTATGGGGAAGACGGACGCTAAGGGGATGACGGCACTAGCACTCACCTGAGTCCTGCCCCACCCAGTTAGGGTGGGGATGACGGACGCTATGGGGATGACGGACGCTATGGGGATGACGGACGCTATGGGTATGACGGACGCTATGGGGATGACGGACGCTATGGGGATGACGGGCGCTATGGGGATGACGGACGCTATGAGGAAGACGGACGCTATGGGGATGATGGACGCTATGGGGATGACAGACGCTATGATGACGGACGCTATGGGGATGACGGACGCCATGAGGATGACGGACGCCATGAGGATGACGGACGCTATGGGGATGACGGACGCCATGAGGATGACGGACGCTATGGGGATGACGGATACTATGGGAATGACGTACGCCATGGGGATGACTGACGCTAAGGGGATGACGGACGCCATGGAGATGACGGACGCTATGGGGACGACGGATGCTATGAGGACGACGGAACTAGCACTCACCTGAGTCCGACCCCACCCGCTGACCACAATATCGCTGCCGCCCCTCACGGGCCGGCCGAGCGGCGCCAGCGGTATAGGCTGTATAGCCTCAGTAAAGTTGATCTTCTCCGCCGTCTTCATGACGGCCACGTCCTTGTCGAAGGCCGGCTCGTCGTAGTTGGGGTGCGGCGTGACGGACGCTATGGGATGACGGACGCTATGGGGATGACAGACGCTATGATGACGGACGCTATGGCGATTATGGACGCTATGGCGATGACGATCGCTATGGGGATGACGGACGCTATGATGATGACAGCCGCTATGGGGAAGACGGACGCTATGGGTATGACGGATGCTATGGGGATGACGGACGCTATGGGGATGACGGACGCTATGGGGATGACGGCACCAGCACTCACCTGCGTCCGGCCCCACCCGCTGACCACGATGTCACTGCCGCCCCTCATGGGCCGGCCGAGCGGCGCCAGCGGTATAGGCTGTATAGCCTCAGTAAAGTTGATCTTCTCCGCCGTCTTCATGACGGCCACGTCCTTGTCGAAGGCCGGCTCGTCATAGTTCGGGTGCGGCGTGACGGACGCTATGGGGATGACGGTGCCGTTGCGACGCCACGTGCTGCCCGCTCGAAGCACCACTGTTGATGGGTCCACACTGGAATGTTTATAATTTATATTTTCAACCGACTTCAAAAAAGGAGGAGGTTCTCAATTCGACCCGTATGTTTTTTTTTTTCCTATGTTTGTTACGCGATAACTCCGCCAATTATGAACCGATTTGAACAAATCTTTTTTCGGCGTATAGGTAATACCCTCAGATCATAGAAGGGAATAGATGTGAAACGGGGGCGTGGCGCGTGTCTCCGCGATATGCCCAGAAACGAACATCGGCCGCGACGCCAGGTTAGTCGCGATTCAGTCGTACTGAGGAAATGTTCTCCGATATTGTTGGATAATGCGTCGTAACATGCAATAACATAAGTGAAACGAAGAACTACAGGAACAATGAAGTCATTTACCACATGTAAGTATTGCAAATCCATTGGTATTTTGCTTATAAATAAAAAAAACTAAACATTTTTACGAACGAATTCAGTGCCGTGACATTTACTGCGATATCGAAATTAGTGGTGATAAAAATTCAAACACGTTGTACATTGACGATTTAGTTAGCAACCACTTAATGTCATGCGTAACTACTGCGCAATGTATTTTATTTCTTCCGATATCCACTGACGNTGGGGATGACGGAAGCTATGGGTATGACGGACGCTATGGGGATGACGGCACTAGCACTCACCTGAGTCCGGCCCCACCCGCTGACCACGATGTCGCTGCCGCCCCTCATAGGCCGGCCGAGCGGCGCCAGCGGGATGGGCTGTATGGCCTCCGTGAAGGCGATCTTCTCCGCCGTCTTCATGACGGCCACGTCCTTGTCGAAGGCCGGCTCGTCGTAGTTGGGGTGCGATGATGACGAACGCTATGTGTATGACGGATGCTATGTGGATGATGGACGCTAAGGGGATGACGGACGCTATGAGGATGACGGACGCTGTAGGGATGACGGACGCCATGGGGATGACCGACGCCATGGGGATGATGGACGCCAAGAGGATGACGGGCGCTATGAGGATGACGGACACTATGAGGATGACGGACGTCATGGGGATGACGGACGCAATGAGAATGATGGACGCTAAGGGGATGACGGACGCCAAGAGGATGACGGACGTCATGGAGATGACGGACGCAATGAGAATGATGGACGCTAAGGGGATGACGGACGCAATGAGAATGATGGACGCTAAGGGGATGACGGACGCTATGAGGATGACGGGCGCTATGGGGACAACAGCACTAGCACTCACCTGAGTCCGGCCCCACCCGCTGACCACGATGTCGCTGCCGCCCCTCATGGGCCGGCCGAGCGGCGCCAGCGGGATGGGCTGTATAGCCTCAGTAAAGTTGATCTTCTCCGCCGTCTTCATGACGGCCACGTCCTTGTCGAAGGCCGGCTCGTCGTAGTTCGGGTGCGGCGTGACGGACGCTATGGCGATGACGGTGCCGTTGCGACGCCACGTGCTGCCCGCTCGGAGCACCACTGTTGATGGGTCCACACTGGAATGTTAATAATTTATATTTTCAAATTGTTGTAACAGCACAACAACAATTCACAGATATTTAAAACAACCATAACTCAAAAACTATCAAAAATCGCGGAACATACATCGGGGTGATTTGGATATCCCTACTACTGATGCTCTACCTCTGGGCACAACTCTGGGCTTCAGCTTGACACTACTTTTTGGGACACCCTGTATAGGTATTTAATAAAGTTATAACTTAAAAAAATTGCTAATATAAAATTTGGATTCCAATGGTAAAATATTTTTTCAGATCGGTCCAGTAGTTTCGAAACCTACTATCAATACAAACATACAAATGTTTCCTAGAAATACTTCTGAGGGTGCTCAACTCTTCAACAACGTCCTTTGCATTTGGAATAGACAGATAAATAAATACTCGAAAGTGATAATCACAAGACAAAATAAACATAACACTTTGTAATAAACATTTCTATTGAAATACTGGTAGATCACTTGTAGATTGAGTTAAACACGTGTAAACAGCATTTATTAGTAGACGTATTAATATTATAAACCAATTTAGTAAAAAAATACTGAATCTATTTGGATGACGCTACAATATTATTGCAACTCACTGTGCACATGCTTTTTTTCTATTTTTATTCCTTTGTATTGTAATCATACCATTAATTATAAAAAAGAAAGGCTGCTTACTTCTGCGCGCAGTGTCCGGCCGTGAGGATGTAGTCCTCGCTGACGATGAACCCGCCGCAGAAGTACGAGTTGTTCACGATGAACGACACCTTCGGAAGACAACAGAACAGAAAATAATAACATAATTAATATAAATATGACTCAAAGAAAAACAGATAGGAAAAAAGTCAAAATTTTAATTCTTAGGGCTGATTTTTCAATCGTCGGATAACTTTTAACCGAAGAATAACCTTGTCATTTTGACATATTTCCCATACTAAAACTGTCTATGTGCCAAACTTATTCTTCAGTTAAAAGTTATCTAACGATTGAAAAATCGGCCCTTAGTCTATCCAAGATTTCACTTTTTTTCCTCTGAAATTAATTTTACGTTGACTTTTGAAAATCCACAAAAAATTACTCGAAATTGGTACTAAACATTCAATTACCATGCTTATTAATAAAAAATCTTTATGAGCCATCGGCAGTGTCTCGTCCAGAGTGGACCTAACTACATATTGGAACACTGTAAATTGAATGACCTGCAAAGTGTACCAGGGCATATAGTACGCAGAACTGACGGCCGATGGGGCAGCAAGGTTCTGGAGTGGCGGCCACGTACCGGAAAGCGCAGCGTAGGACGTCCACCCACCAGATGGACCGATGACTTCATAAAGGTAGCGGGAAGTCGCTGGATGCCGGCCGCTACCAATCGGCCGTTGTGAAAATCATTGGGGTAGGGCTATTTTCATGGGACTATCCCCACCTCTCTTTCCCACCACTGCAACTCCTGTGTAGCCAGGATCTACAGCTTGACCGCCAATAAAAACCCAACCAGTGAAGATCAAGTAGTGTTCCGGGGAAAGTTAAACTGTCATTGGACCCGCAACGAAATTAATCAGAACATGGGAGGAGTTCGAAGTTAAGGTTCACCTTCCCTCCGTTGCAAAGCGGATGACAGGTGACAAAGGTTTAGTATTAGTAACCTTTATGAAAAAGATATGCACCTAGGACCAGTCCTGGATCTGTTAATAGCCCGTATAGGCCGCGGCCTAGGGGCGGCAGATTTCAGATGACGCTTATTTACTCGATTTCAAAAGATAAAAGTTAAATAAAGATCCAACCCTACCCTAGCCTACGGGCGGCAAAACTGTAAATCCGCCACTGCCTAGGACCATAGGCCTATGTTCAGCAGTGGACGTCCTATGACTGAAACGATGATGTTGAAAGTGTACCTGGTAGGGGTGCTCCTCGATGGTGGTCTCCTGGCCGCCCACGATGCGGTCGGAGCCCTGCGGCCGCGGGTACTCGTCAGCCAGCCCCGGGCCCGAGGGCTCCACCGGCACTCGCTCGGACAGGATTATGGACGACGTGTCCAACTCGTCTTTACCTATGCCTATCAAACACCAAGTGAAATTAAAAATCTTATAGGGAAATAAAAGTTTTAAGTCATTTGCTGCTTTTGAAATGAAAAATGAATGAATTTCATCCCCACCCCACTGTTCGGTGTGTGTTCACATTGACTTGACTTTTCTAATTGCCGCGCAGTGTAAAAGCGGTAATTTATTTTCTGCAAATACTTAGGCTTTTGCAAAACGCTTTTACACGTCCTAGTATAACTTTTCGATTGGAACAGTTAGTGGGCCAGTGGTCAAAAGAAAAAGATGCAGCGCAAGAAACAGCCCTTTGTCAGACACTTTTACAACAGTTTAAAATATTATTTAATGTGAGCAGTTATAACATTTCAAAAATATACGCGGCACAATGTCGGCGGTATCCGAATCTGTATTTTTTTTAAATTACTACTGGAATGAGTTCCTGGCGCCAATTGGTAAACTTACGAGACTTGTAAAAAGTTTAACTAGAATTTGACTTTATTATTATAACATTTGACGGCTTGTAAATACCGATTAATTTATTTAACTCACCAAATTTGTATCCGGAAGACGCATGCCCTACGGACACCAAAACAAAAACTACACCTAACACGTTCATGATAACTTAAAATTCAAATATGTCACTGAATTACTTAACCCGTCGGTCTTATATCTGACATATAAATGAGCTATAGGGATGCCCTCCACCTGCTATATACCAGCTGATCTTGAATACCATATCACCCACATAGCTCTGACGCCACTGGAAAACTTGAAATACTGTTTTAGATAATGAAATTGACTTGTTATGTACCCTAACTTATCTAGATCAATATGCTAAAATCTTAACGGTGAGACAAACGCGTGGAATACACAACAATACAACGGACGGGTTCGCACGCGAACGCAATGCAAAACTGAATATCGTTCCACTTTTATATCTGAATTCTACTTAAAATTTACATAGTGATAATTTATTTATCTATTTTATGTAGGTTTTCATGGTTCTCATTGATATAAACAATTGAACTTAAATTATAGTCAATAATTTAGATAAAACTAACTTTATCAGTTACCTAATTTGAATGCTTAATTTTGCTCGATCAAAATAATCATCAATGCTAGTTTGACTATTGGATTGGTGTTTGTATCCAGATTCATCAATCATTAATTAGGTCTAGGTACAGACTGCTGTTTGCTTGTCCTATAGAAAATAATTGAGAAGAACACGCAGTACTTATAACATGGTGTTACTTAATTGATGAATCGGCGGCCCTCTTTTATTTACTTATTACATAAAAAGAATACATCACCAATCATCATCATTCAATATTTCATTACTTACGCCCAGCGAGTAATTTGAGCCATTTTTTAAAATGTTTTTAAAATGAAATTTGTTAAATATCTTTCGCCTTCATTTAAATGGAGAAAGGGCTTTATAGTAATTAGAAAATTAAGGAAATCATAACAATTAACGCGTGACGCGGCGACAGACGGCGGCCTTGATCGACATAATACATATCGCCCGAGTAGGCCGCATGCATTATGCATTATGGCGGCGGGCATTCTCAAATGCATCCATCATCACAACTGTGTTCTTTACATTCTTAGAATAAATACAATTGATTTATATTACAGAGTAGACATAAACTTTTTAACGGTGCAGTTCTGTTAACACTGAATGGCGATCTTTGGACATGCAAATCGCAATTCCTTGATATGTTATCTAATGCACAACTAAGCCCTCTGATATCGATATAACTTTAAGTGGTTTACCTTATCTACTTTTGTAGTTTTGTACCATTAAGCCTACCTTTGTCTATAGTGCATTCGCGATTAGAAAATAGTAACTGTTCTGTGTCACATTTGACCAATTGTTTAATTGATTAAATCAAATCAAATGATCTAATCAGCATTGGCGTATCTAGGGTACTTTTTCAGTCCGAGCCTGGCCTGCGATTAGTACCTATCATAGCTCATGAGTTAGTACTATCAACTATCACCTTCAATTCGGCAGCCCAACGCGCAGTGAGCTATCTGCACGCGTTGGTTTGGCTGAAGCTTAAAACGCATTAATGGCGCACGCAGGCTGTTCGCGTAGTTTTGACCGAACCTCTAAGGCCCCTGTCTTCGTTATTTGATGTGGATCGTAATGCTTGCAGGCATGTACACTGGCGCAGAAGTACTCGCTGCAGGTGACGCCGCTGGAGGAGTCGCTGATGGAGATGCTGCATCCTGAAGGGAACATCGACACGCAGTGGGTGAGTCTTGAACGCAACGGAACTAGCAAATTCTAAATACGTTTATTGTGAACCACAGGTACATATGCTGTCAAATTATAAATGGGTGTAGATCGGCTCCGTTCCGCCTTGTAGACATACAATAGTTACTTTTTAATTCTAGGGTTTAAGTTTAGGCTAAAGATTAGGTGCAAACAAAATTACTTAACATTTTCTTACTTATCGTGATGACACAATTTCAGCCACAGGACTTTAATTCGCATCATTTTAGCAACAGGCCTCCTCCAATTCCATAACTGCTCTTTATTAGAAACTCATAAGTCATAAGGAAAAACAATCGAATGGCTTTCCATTTCATTCGTGGGTCAAATCACGAAAAGGCGTAACTAACAAAATGGCGATATTGAATTAAACATACCATGTTATTTAAAAACATTCATTTTATAACCTCACAAAAGATCGTAGCTGAATTCTTTGTCAGAAAGCCAGTATTGACAGTTAAAAATGGCTGAAATGCACATTTTCCATACTTCAAATTATCTTTAAATGTTGCTCCTGTAAAATTAAAAATCAATAACGTCTTTTCGTGATTAGACCTACGAATGCCCACGATATGCATACTTATTACTTTTATGAATTTTTTCATCTCATGTGTCAGGCGCGGCGGGCCCACCCCACCGCTCACAAGGCTGGTGCGCGAGTTATAAAATTCAGACGGTAGTTTTGTTATTCGGGAATTGTCAAATTGCTTTGATCGGTTCGCGCGACATTTTCTTTCAATTTGGGATTTCGTTGTGTATTTCGGTGGAATATCATTGTTACTGTAATGTATTTTAAATATAAAGTGTGTACTACAACGTTGGAAAGTGTGGATCAAATGAAAGAAATGTCCCTGGTTCCGAACAGGACACTGCCCACTCACGAGGTACATTATATGTTTTAAGGTTAAAGGACAATGGCCATAAAATAAGTTAAATGCATACATAATTATCGCCTTTATTTTATTGTTTTCTGTTGCCTTGGGTTCTTTTCATATCGTTTTAGCCTACTAATTATTTTACTTTAATTGCATTATTTAACCTATCGTAATTTAACGCCTAGTAATTGTCAATTTATGAATGTAGGTCAGTAGGTACTAGATAGGTAGGTACTTCATCAGAGAAATTACAGTAAGCAGGAAGTGTATGTATTGATACTTGACTGGATACATTTAAATTCATATTCCCTATTCCTAAATTGATAATTCCTAAGTACAGATTTAAAAAATCTTTGAACTTTGATGCGATTCTGAAACTCGTCTAAGGCTGAGTTGCACCACCTTACTTTAACTTTAACAAAGTTAGTCTGTCAAACTCTATACAAAAAACACCGGTTATAGTCACGGTTAAACTCAGCCTTTCTATCATTTTTAATTATTAATCTCGGTAGTCGTAACAAAGACTTTGACATAATATGAACGTGTGACATAGTGTGAAGTTATTGACCGCTAATTACACTGTAAACTTGTTTGTTTCGTACTTGGGGTCGTGAAATAATAGTCCAAAGCACGATTCGAAGGCACAGAAACGTATAATCTCTTCTACAAATCGAAATACAACACAAATAATACTTGGAATCAGTAGAATACAATCATTTAACAGTCAAAACATAGAAAATTGTTCGCGCTCGTCGCGGCCATGTCGTCTGAGTCCTGAAAATACGCCGGCGATTAATGTTNGCCGCCGCCGCCGCCGCCGACACCGCCGCGCCGCTCGCCGTGCTGGCGCACCATAAGGTAGGAAACCTTATTATTTACAGCAGCAACAACTACCGAAATATCGCAGTGTCTAAAGTCCGCCTGCTCACCGACACCGCCGCGCCGCTCGCTGTGCTGGCACACCATAAGGTACGGGACTATTCCCACTTCTCGTTCCCACCACTGCAACTCCTGTGTAGCCAGGATCTACAGCTTGACCGCCACAAAAACCCAACCAATGAAGGTCAAGTTTGTCCCGGGGAAAAGTTAAACTGTCATTGGACCCGCAACGAAATTAATTAGAAGAACATAGGAGGAGTTCCAAATTAAGGTTCGACTTCCCTCCATTGCAAAGCGGATGACAGGTGACAAACAAAGGTTTAAAGCCTTTAAGAAATATCGCAATTCGCAGTGTCTAAAGTCCGCCTGCACGCCGCCGCCGCCGCCGCCGCCGCCGACACCGCCGCGCCGCTCGCCGTGCTGGCGCACCATAAGGTAGGAAAAACCTTATTATTTACAGCAGTAACAACTACCGAAATATCGCAGTGTCTGAAGTCAAAAGTCTTTGACCAGTGTGTGTTGCCAGTGATGGTGTATGGATCTGAAACGTGGTCGCTTACTATGGGCCTCATAAGAAGACTCAAGGTCACCCAAAGGGCGATGAAGCGTGCTACGCTCGGAGTTTCCCTGCGCGATCGAATCAGAAACGAGGAGATACGTAGGAAAACCAAAGTGACTGTCTGCAGAATCGCTGGGGCACATAGCACGATAGAGCTGATGGCCGCTGGGGCAGGAAAGTTCTTGAGTGACGGAGCCGAAAGACGTAGCGCGGGCAGGCCTCCCACTATGTGAACCTGCTTAGAATTGCATAAAAAAAATATCGCTTCGTGATATTTTATTGTAATAATATTAACTTTCTTTTTAATCCTGTCAAAAGAACTCGAACTAACCGCTAAGACACAGAAGCTGTCCTACGATTGATGACTGAAAGAGAAATCAAAATAAATTCGTTATAGTGAATCTTGTTATTTGGTAGGAATGCAGGATTTATTTACGTCTTTGCCTAGGCGCAGACCACCGACTTTTAGTTGGGCCCGATTCTATTTTGTATGAAAATCAGTGTAATGTGCGCACTTCCATACATGCCCATACTGATTAACTGCCCGACTAAACTATCGGCCAACTAAAAATAGGTTGTCTGTGCCTAGCTTTGTTTAGGCTGGTTTTAGAATCACGCTGACGCACGCTGACCGTCAGCGCTGACAACCGAAGGCTGGTTTTAAGGCTTGATTTCCTTTTAGGCTGACATCGGTGACCTACGTCAGCGGCGCTCACGATTACAACTAGTTCTATGTAATCATCTGCCGCTGACGACGGCGTTGCAGTGCGGTGCTTCATAGAACATTGTGTTTATTCGTACGCTCGACCGATGTACGCGACCGACGTCAGCGTAAGAGGAAATCAACCTTAAAGTCACGCTGACGCACGCTGACCGTCAGCGCTGACAACCGAAGGCTGGTTTTAGAGTCACGCTGACCGTCAGCGCTGACAGCCGAAATGTATGAAGCGTCGGCGCCGAGCGATCAGCGTCGCTCATGAACGTATTCAATTACATACCTACATTGAGATTTGTCAGCGCCGACGATCAGCGAGCGGTCAGTGCGATTCTAAAACCAGCCTTAGTTTTTTGTTTTCACGCGTTTTATTTCTCGTTTAGGGAGTGAACCCGGCCACAACATATTTGGCGGCGGAGCGCGCAGCTGAAAACCTAGTGGGCGCGCTACAGGCGGCGGGCGAAGCCTCCGAGGGGGCGGAGCCCGAGACGGCGGGGACGGAGCGAGCCCGCGCCGCCGCCGCCGCGCACGCCGCCGTGCAACTTGCCGCCGACATGCCGGCTTTGACCGACATGCTGCTGGAGTGAGTACCTTACTGTTGTTGTTGTTCCTTAACTTCCAACTCCTCCTATGTTGATGAAATGTCATCACTTCTTCTCTTCTCCTATGAGAAGAAGTGATGACATTTATTAACGACTAGCTTTTGCCCGCGGTTTCACCCGCGTGAAATTTAGTATGTCACAGATCGTCATAAATTATAGCCTATAATATGTTAATCTGGGTTATAAACAGTAATACTGTAAAGTTTCAACAAAATCCGTTCAGAAGTTTTTGCGTGAAAGAGTAACAAACATCCAGACATCATGACATCCAAACTTTCGCATTTATAATATTATAAGTAGGATAGCAGCCCGACGCGAAGTACCGTATTTGTGGTGTCAAGCCCCAGAAGGGGGAGAATTGACTATTAGAAGAGACATGGATCAGAGAAATTTGTAGGGAATCAAGCAAAGCGCCCGGGGAAAAGAGCCCAGAGCAAGTACCCGCGCGCTCTCCCGAGATTCGGTTCGTACGCCGTGAGGCAGGAAGAACCATGGCTGGTGGTGGGTCCTATGTTCGATGTTAACACCCGTATTCACAAACGATGCTTGCCTAAGTGAAGCAGCAAATAGAACGCACAGCGCTGAATAGAGATGTGCGATTGATTCGTAATCGTATGTGACCCTGTGCGTCCACACGCACTGTGAGACCTCATAGTAATGTTTGTGAATACGGGCATAAAATAGATAAAATTACATAGCTTAAGATTTCCGCTTAGTGACGCTGGCATAAGGACCCAACCACACTACCTGCGTCCAGTAGCGTGTAGTACCCAACCACACCTGCCCCCAGTACGTGGTTGGGTGTTTATGTCGGCGTCATTAAGTGGAAATCTTAAGCTAAGTAATTTTATCTTTTTAATATCTAAATATGGTTTGGGATAGGGCTAGCGATAATGTAATTTTATCGCCAAAATGCCCCTATGTGGGCCTACCCCCTTCCTCTTGGAAAGGGGGGGGGCTTAATGAGGGTTTTCGCGATGGAAGGATCCGCCAGATGGCGATACGTGGACGCGGGGTCCAGATGCTGCGTGATTGGTTATTTTTGACATGACATTGACAGATATGTCAAAATCCACCAATCACGCAGCGGTCGGACCCCACGTCCGCGTCCCGCCGTCTGGCGGATTTTTCAATCGCGAAAACCCTCATTGTTTAAATTTATTATTTATGTGATACTAATATGATGAATGTTGTCGACAGCCTGCACCACGCGTGGGACAGCGGCGCACGGCGCCTCACGCGGCAACCGGCGCTGGCGCACCACGCACACGGTCAGTACATTTTTACTTGAAGGACTAGTCTTATCTGTAGCTAAAGAGGGAGAATGTGCGTGTGGACTGAGTGATCTTTTCAAAAACCTTATACTCTACCTATATTATATTTTGGGGGCCACCAAGATACAGGCTGTGCCTAGTTTGGGGCCCACTGTTATTGATAATACATCCTGCTTTTTTTACTTTTATTGTTATCTAGCTTTTATTCTTTTGTAATGCAAAATATAACCTGTGCCTATTTAATTTTGGCTTATTCCACTATTCCCCGTTGACAATCCCCGTCAACGGGGATTAGTGAACTTTTTGTTCACGCCAAATGCCGAATTTGAGCTTATAATGGGGAATAATGAACTAAAAAGTTCATTAATCCCCGTTATATTAGGATTTTATTTTTAAAGTAAAGTAATAGTGAACAAAAAGTTCACTAATCCCCGTTGACGGGGATTGTCAACGGGGAATAGTGGAATAAGCCTTAATTCTTTTTCCATTTTTTCATGTCCATAGAAAAATTAAAGTTATAGTTTTTATAGACATATTATTAAGCCTTAATTTCCTCTTAAGCTGATGTCTGTGATCGACGATCTGCCGCTGACAATAGCGGCTGTGCGGAGCTTCTTACAACTAGTGTACCTATATTCGGCAAGAGGAAATCAAGCCTTAAGGCCATTCACTTCTGATGTCAGCGTGACATGCTAATTTTGGAACATCTTGTTAATTTGAAAATTATAAATAACTTTAAAAAAATCGAACTGCCTAAGGCGGGAATTGAACCCAGGATCTTTCGCTTGCCGGGTCGCCCGTCTTAGGCAGTTCGATTTTTTCAAGTTATTTATAATTTTCAAATTAGTTTGAGATGCAACTCATAAAGCTAAAAATTAAATAACTATCCTGCATGTATTTAAAATAAAAAAATAAAATAAATATCTTTGGACATTTTACACTGCGCTTCTAGCAAAGCTTGTACTATGGGTACTAAACAACGGATATAAACATACTCAAATACTTTTTTTTTTTGTAAATACATACTTATTATTACATAGAAAACACCCAGTTCAATACAAACAAATAAATATGTTCATGCACACAAATGTTTGTACTGTGCGGGAATCGAACCCGCTACCTCCGCAATAGTAGTCCGTTTCGAACCACTACACCAAACGGCCGACGTATTATTTATATTTATGTAGGATAAAATGTGTCAGTTCGTTGCTGTACTTAAAAGACAAATCTGAACTCCCTCAGGATCATCTACAGCGGCGTGGCCCTCGACCAGTACCAGTGGGCCCGGAGGGCCCGGGGGGCCAGCTGGGGGCCGCAGCGCAACAGGCGCCGGGGTATGGCGCCGCGTGCGCCTTAAGCTGGAGGGACGCGAGCGCGATGCGGCGCGCCGCGCCATGCCGCAAGAACAGGTAACTTAAGCTACTAACACCAGGAATCTGTATCTCTAGCATGAGCAACTGTCGTCTTCGAATCGTTTGCGTATTCGACAAAATTCGATATTCAACTTTCGAATTAAACGATAACGTGTAAATTTTTAAGTTTCGTGCAATCATTTCTCATACTAAGTTCATTTTACGACACGTTCACAAGGGCACTGTTGTAGTTTTCGTACTAAATCTTTTGATGGCGATTCGAATACGCAAACGATTCGAACTAGAAAGTTTTTCGTGCTAACTGTACTGAAATAATTTGGTCTTCACTTTACTTCGTAGACTGAAACTTTTAAGTAGGGTTCTCCCTGCCATTTTTGGCATGGCTCACCCACCGATAACTGTGTGCGGGCCCACCGAGTGAGCGACCTACACCGGTTGGAAATTCCTTGGCGTTCAGGCCGTACACCGGATCTACAGGAGTCGCAGCAGTGATAATGGTCCTGTATTCCCGTCTACATATTAGTTACAAAATTTGTCGATTAACATTCGTTCGTATTCGGCAGGTGGAGTACATAATATCGGAAGCGATCAGCGCAGAGAACCTGTGCCTGATGTACGAGGGCTGGATGGCGTGGGTATGAAGCGCCCGCGGGACCCTCCTGAGGGACCGGACCCACACGACGCCCCGCCCATGGCGCGCGGCGAGCAGCGCCCGGCGCTCGACGACTCGGCCTGCTGACGGTTTAGATTACTTCTCGATCGATGTGTCTCTTTGTTTAAATTCGAAGACGCACGTCCGTCTTCGCAGTGGAGGCCCGACGCGAGCACCCGCGGGCCGCAGACACGATCGGGACTGCCGCGGACGAAACGCGCCGCGGCAGGCCGGCCAGCTTCACGATCCCAGTCGTCAAGGACGACGACACCCGGACGCGTCGACTCGTTAGATTCGTCGATGTCGACGAAAGTCGACGGTAGTGGCGGTCATCGATTAATATATTTCGTGCATGTTCTGAACCGACTCCGCTTCGCATCGAGGCGCCCGACCGAGTCCGAGATCAGTGTTTCGCTGTAAGTTTCGATTCCCATAACGTCAATAGCAGTAAGTGCCCCCGACCGGCACCCTAGATTAGTCAGTTCGGTGTTGACGGAGCACCGAACCCGTCGCTCTCTCGAACAGCGTTCGCGCCGCGAACGTTCGTCCCGCCCACCTCGGACGATAGCGTAATCGCATAAACGTATTTTATAGTAGTCGTATTGTATTTTAGTTCGAACTCGTTCGCTGTGAATTTTTTGTCACCATCTATTGACACTGACGATCGCTGAAAATGACGATTCTTAGTTCTGATTTTAGAAGATCTTTTACCAGGTGTTTGTACGAGGATAACATGCAAAGAATTTGCAGAAAATAAGTTCTTTTCCATTATTATGTATCACATATTTACCCGCATAACCCTATCGTATGAATGTAGTGTGTGTGAGCCGAATTGTCTATCCCATCGCTTCGTAAGATTGTGACGGTGAACGTGTCCTTTGTCCACTTGACTTCAAGCGATCGCATCTAGCTTGCTAACCTATAACAGGATACTTTCACCGAGAATGTTTGTATGTATCGCTTCATTTTAATAGTAATAAATGGTGTATGTCAAATGAACTTTCATTTCTACCCTCAAACAAAAAAAATCTAATGGATTCGTCATTTATTTATTTACATTATCATTTATCTGTAGGATAGAATCTGAAGATAAAACATATAATTTATAATTGATTATATCGCAGGATTTACGCTAATTATAAATACATAAAGTAAAAAATACTATTCCTTCCTCTAACGAGCGGAAGTGCCGCCATTTTAATAAAGCAAAACGACAAGACTACCTGCCATTTACGTGCTGCAGCATTGGTAGACTAAAACACAGACAAGCAGCGACCAATGAGGGCTATCCTTTTTATACTTAAAAGTTGGCACCACTGGCGATTGACATAACTCTACAGTGGCGCCAACTGGTAAGCACTAAAAGATTAACCCTCAGCAATAATGGCGCCACAGATAAAGCCTCCAAACGTGATGCTTTTACAAAATGGACGGCAGTTCGCTTTTGACTGCGCGAGAGCAGTATGGCGCTTCCAAGTTCTTCCTCCGCCAATGTGTCAACATAGCCCAGAACCTTATACCCTATGAAAGACTAGCCACCAACAATAAAATTAAAAACAATAATTTTGTAGACCATATAACAAGAACCATTTTAAAATTTAAACATTCCTCACAAAAATTATGTATGTTTTTGTCATCAGTACGCTACTTTCTCTCGTTAACATTGTTAAAGACGTCTGTTGCTTAGATTTTAACACGTATAATACTCAAGCATTACCTTTGTCCAGCTGATTTTAGTATGCAAAACGAAATATCGTTGCTCTGAATAACATCTTTGCTTATGAACCTCAGTCAGGTCCGTAAAAATCCACTGGCTTCAGGTATTGCTGCATACGACTATTCATGCCGCGGCATATTATTTACATTTAGAAAACTTGAGAAATTGTGTAACAAACAATTATAAGGTGAAACATGATGCAACTCATTCCAAGTGCGACATATAAGTTGCCAAGTTACAAAGTACGTGGTTGAAATACAGAAACTATACACAAGACTCGACATCCCTTAACAATACTTCATCCCCCAGGAACTAAGGACACGGCACCTTACATTAAACCGCCCGACGGGCTATCACAATAAAAGCTATTTACATAATGAGAAATATCGATGATGTCGCCGGTGCGTTGAGCGTTATCCTGCTACCGACAGATTATTATCATTTATTGAAATCGGTTTTCCTTGATGTAGCGACACCATGTGTTCTCTGAATGCTTACTAAGGTCCGCTCACCAGTACCTCTAGCATGAACAACTTTCGCCTTCGAATCGTTTGCGTATTCGACAAAATTCGATACTCAACCATCGAATTAAACGATAACATTACAATTTTGATTCTCATAATAAGTTTCGTGCAACCAATTCTCATACAAAGTTCACTTTCCGACACGTTCACAAGGGCGCTGTTGTAGTTTTCGTACTAAATCTTTTGATGGCGATTCGAATACGCAAACGATCCGAACTCGAAAGTTTTTCGTGCTAGCCGTACAGTTAGCGTCACTGTCGAGTAAGTTTCTGACACTCGCCAGTGGCGCCATCTACAGAAACTCATTGGCAGGTTACCGCTCAACGCAAGGCATATATAATAATATAATCCAGTACTTTCTTTATATTCTAATAATATAGCTATTTTACATGATCTGTAAATCCCATGAGAAAGTACATAAATATGAATACCTTTAAAGACTAAACTAATAAAATGCAGATACGAATTAAATAGAAGTTGGCATTAGAAATGTCATTAAAACGTGTTTTGACAGGCAATCTTTAGTCTTCATCCGAGATTATAGATGACCTACACTGAACTGTCCCACCAAACTCATTGACAGGGGGGCGCCACCATCGTTCAACTACAGTTTCCAACATGGCAAAAATCGGAACCAGCGCTCCAGTATTGACGGTGGCGCCCCCCTGTCAATGTCACGGGTGGGACAGTTCAGTGTATTGGGTCTATACAATGAAATTAAACATTCCTAATTAAGACAATTTTGTTTTATATCAATGTATGCAAACATGTTGCACAATTTTATTTAAAAATGTGGCTATGGCAAATACACTTCTATCAATATTTATTGTGCTTGTAATATTAATGATCCATAATTTAATATCTAAATGAAGCTTTATGAACAGCGTAACCCTCAACGACTACATAATATCTTCAGTAACGTAACTATGCGGCAGCCAACGGGATGTGGTACTAGTTTAACTGAGAAGAGATTATGTATGTACCTACGACTTTTTCACTGTTTCTTAAGCTAAGCTACGTAACTGGTATGCATACATAAGAAATTTAACCGAGGCACTATTAACAAAATTGCGTAACATTGGCAGTTTAGAAACCCGTTGACATCTGTGATATTGTAAAACATTGATTACCTATATTTTGAGGCAGTTACATTTGGGGTATTATTGAGGCTGTTAAAGCTGTTTATTAAGTTTTAAAACTATCTGTAGTTCGTTTAAGAAACCGAGTCGTACGCACGGCCACACTGTTAACTATCCATTTCCGTTTTTGCTCTCGCTCTAATCAAATGGCGATTCTTTGCGATAGAACGAGACGACATGACAGGCAATGGATAGTTAACACTGTTGTCGATGGTACGTGGCGACGATGAATACGAGCAATCTGAGATTTTGTTAACTCGGTGTTACAGGTTCAGCGCTGAACCCGGTCTGCGCTATGAGAGCGGCACTGGAACCCGCTTCTGAGGCTCAAACGTCAGCGACACTTCAGTACTTCTTGAATGAACAACTTTTGTCTTCGAATCGTTTGCGTATTCGACAAAATTCGATACTTAACCTTCGAATGAGGGTTTTCGCGATTGAAAAATCCGCCAGATGGCAATACGTAGACGCGAGGTCCAAATGCTACATGATTGGTTATTTTTGACATGACATTGACAGATATGTCAAAATCCACCAATCATGCAGCATTTGGACCTCCCGTCTACGTATTATCATCTGGCGGATTTTTCAATCGCGAAAACCCTTATTAAACGATAACGTGTCAATTTTGATTCTCAAAATAAGTTTCGTGCAACCATTTCTCATACTAAGTTCGCTTTACGACACGTTCACAAGGGCGCTGTTGTAGTTTTCGTACTAAATTTTTGATGGCGATTCGAATACGCAAACGATTCGAACTCGAAAGTTTTTCTTGCCAGCCGTACTGATCTGTACGCTCGGTCACGTCATAATAATTACGTCAACGTCACCCCGTGCCGCTCCCATATCTCATGCACAGACGTGAGTCAAGCACTAAAGCCCGGTCTGTGAGCACGTAGAATTTTGTCCAATGACCCCTAGCTACCCATCCTTATCGTGCTTGTTATCGCGCTCGCACACTCACTGCGGGCGCCCGTCGCACAGTCGCAACAGCAATATAATTACGCGCGAGCGACGGACGGACACGGACCAGACTATAGAACCATAGTTAATGGCTGTTTGGAGATCTCAAAACCGGCTGTATGCCTGCATGGGCGGGGCTGGTGGGCGGTTCTTCTCTTCTCAGCACTTGCCAAATGTTGGTCTCGAAGCGCTGGTAGGGTAAAAAGATTATGAGACATGTAGAAGCTCCTTAAGAGCAAAATGACGATTTGTAAGAACTACACTCAACATCAAATAAACCGCACCTTCCGCGACGCGTACTTTAAAGATTTTCGTCCGACACAATCATGGTACCCCAACAATATTGGTGTTATTTGAAAGCCCAATAAATATCCTTAAATAAAAATACATTTCATTTCTAAATAAATGATTAACATATACCATAAATGTGACTTGAAAATAGACCTCACTTTGGGCTCACCTCTGGGATCAATTAGACCAATTTTTATGGTTATAAAACCAAATAAAGATCTCACGTGTCCTCTTTAACAGATGGATAGCGATTAATCCCAACTTAAGGCTTGGTATTTCTTCTAAAGTAGGTATTTCGCGCTGTCAAAATCTGCGCGCGCAATTCTTCGCCGAAAACAGCGCGTCAAAGAGCTCCCGCCACAATTTCCAGCTACACAGTATAGAAATACGCAGTTGGTTAAGTTAGGTCGACTTCCTTCCCTTCAAGCGTCACACGAACAATTCGAAAGGGTAATTTGACGGTGTTTGGGGAATTCTAGGAATAAATACAGAGTCTCCTCATTGAGATTGAGACATTTCAATTTGAGATTTCACTTGACATTGAACAAAATCTGAAATGGATTTTTCAAACACTTGTAAAAATAAAAAGTAATTAAATCAAAGGCACTAAGTAGTATTGATATCAACTTCGAAGAAAATGACTGCCAAAATTACTTTCTACCCGTTCCACACGTCTTTCATGAATTATATTAAGGTATTGTTAAACTAAATTTCAAGTAGATTGAACCAAGGAATCACTTTGTCCCATACAAACTTTGCCCCCTTTTTTCACCCCCTTCATTTCATGACCCCATTTCGGAAAATCTTTTCTTATGAGATGCCTACGTCATAAAAAGAACACACCTTCCAACTTTCAGGTCTCTACGATATCCGTCAGTCATTTAGGACAAAGCATTTTTATTAGTTGTTCAAAACTCTATCGTTCCAGGTATGTCATTGACAGGAGGGCGCTACNCTTAACAGTTTTATAGTCATAAAAAATGGCTATAGCGTAACCTATTTTTTGAAGAAGTGACTCTGGATCCTTGTAAAGACACATTTTTGGGGTAAAAACCTTTCCATTAATGAAATGAAGTTTAGAACTAGGCTTTCAAATGGTACCAATGTTGGTGGGAAGTGGGGATGCATACGTTTGATAAGTGCTTGTCGCGGGAGGTGCGATTTATTTGATGCCGAGTGTATTTATTAGTCGATTTGTTTTGCACGTCCAGGCACTCTTTCAAGAGGGAGATTTGCGACTTATTAGGTAAATGAAAACTCACGCACACTCACACACACACACACACACACACACACACACACACACAACCTGCATGCAAGCCTATGTTTCTTTTTTTTGCCCCTTTGACTGTTTTTTACGAGATTGTAATAATATATAGAATCCATTATTGGCTGTAAGAACAAAAATACCTGTTTGTATTATTATTATAAAGAGCTGTGGTTTTCTGAATAAAGAAAAATAAAATAAAAGAAATAAAATAAACAAATAAAGAAATTTTGACTTTGACTTTGACTTTGCTACCTGGCGATGGGCGGCTACCTGGCCTGCTGTCTCAGCGTGACTAGGTCGGCGAGCTGCGCCTTGTAGAGCGCGGTGACGTCGGCGAGGTCGAGGCGCGCCTCGCTCAGTTGCTCCTCCTTCTCGCCGTACATCTGTAGTAGCGCGTCGTACTGCTCCTGCAGGCTCTGTGGATCGATGACGTCACCGTTACTCAAGAAACGACCTGCGCTACAAGTTGCTGGCGCCCGCTACTCGCACCCGTCAAGGAGTGGACGCTGTCAGCTGCCCTTATTAATGGCATATTTGGTATTCGTCTGAGCGTCTGAGCGCGACTCCTCTCCGCTCGTGTTTGTTGCAACTGTGCAATGCATATAAAGACCCGTCGCGACGCATTGTTGTCCTTGGTCCTCCACGCACAGCGCCGTCGAAAAAAGAACGAGACCTGGACTCGCAGAAAAAAAATAAAAATAAATATCCTTGGACATTTTACACTTCGCTTCTAGTCCCAAACTAAGCAAAGCTTGTACTATGGGTACTAGACAACGGATATAAACATACTTAAATACTTTTTTTTTAGGCCTCAGCCTCGAACTTAGCGGGCAGCGGGGCGGGAGCGGCGGCGGCGCTGGAGCGGGGCGGGCAACGCAGACCCGTTCTCGAAACAAGCGGGCAGCTCGCGCGGCGCTTTAGCGGCGAAGTGTTGTGTTCGGGGTTGTGTTGTCGAGATATTTGTTTTTATTCGCAAACGAAATGTCTGAACAACGGCAACAATCTTATTTCGATTCAAATTTATTCCTAACGCTCGATTTATTGCGGGCAAAAGAAGGAGTGCGCTGCCCGCTCGTTGCCCGCTCCCTCGCCGCTGCCCGCTCGTTGCCCGCTGCCGCCCCGCTGCCGCGCCGCTGTTTTCGAGAACCGGTCTATTTGATTTTACGCATAAGATCCTGCCGCTCCCGCGCCGCCGCCGCCGCCGCCCCGCTGCCCGCTAAGTTCGAGGCTGAGGCCTAAGTACTACGTACAGAAAGTTTTCTTCGCAAAGGTATGAAGTAATTTATACTAATCTGTGACGAATTGAGTTACACGCGGGCGAAACCGCGGGCAAAAGCTATTATATTTTAAATAAAACCGTAACCGTATTTTTATGTCACAATATTGAAAATGACTTGCCAGAGTTAAAAAATGTCAAACGGCTCGGGAGCGCAAATCTCACACTTTACGACTAGAACTACGTTACAAATTCCAAATTTTTATTGCTCCATGTTGGTATACATTCTTATGCCTCGCAGTAATCGACACACAAAATGATGATGATTAAAGTAAAGTATTTTATTTGCCAACAAAAGAATTACAGTTTGTTTATCTAGCGGCTGCTGCACTAATGCATGCAATACTTATTCGTAATTAATTATAAGCGCTTGCTTCTGGTAGCTCTTAAGATATTTTGAATGATAAATAAATAATACATAACTCACCATAGGCCACATGGAGGCAGAAAAGGTGTCGGAAGAAACGGAGTGCGGCGGCGACACGTCCCCGCGAGACGTTATTTGCTCCTGCAATTGCAATACAACTCGTTATCAATTATAAATATTAACTCTTAACTACGTCACATACATCGCACGAAAATAACAGTAATAATCATGGTAACGGTATGCCTGAAGTTGTTATTTTTATTGCCTTATAAAAACTGTCAAAACGAGATTCCCATAGATTTTGTAGCCTGTGACGTCACTATTTTGCAACCAAAAATTTAAATTTACAGGTAATTTAAAATTAAAGTTTTATAAACCAGAACGAAGTCTTTTAAAAAAAAATCTTTAGAATTATTTGAGAACGGTGTCAAATGCCCAATCACTTGAAATATAAATTACTTGACACTGGCTAAACTGTGCCAAACACACGAAGCCAAAGCCCGAATTCTATTAATATTATAAATGCGAAAGTTTGTATGGATATCTGGATATTTGTTACTCTTTCACGCAAAAACTACAGAACGAATTTTGATGAAAATTTACAGTATTATTGTTTACTAGCGGCCGCCCGCGACTTCGTACGCGTGGATCCCGTTTTACCCCCTTCATCTATCTTACGCGGTTTAGATTTTTTCATACAAATGTTTTTTCCAGCTAACTCCCGTTCCCGTTGGAATTTTGCAATATCCTGTTGTAACTAAGCTTTAAGTTTACTAAGGTACCTGCATGCCAAATTTCAAGAGTCTATCTTACGCGGTTTAGATTTTTTCATACAAATGTTTTTTCCCACTAACTCCCGTTCCCATGGGAATTCTGCAATATCCTGTTGTAACTAAGCTTTAAGTTTACTAAGGTACCTGCATGCCAAATTTCAAGCGTCTAACTTAAGCGGTTTAGATTTTTCGTACAAAAGGATTTTCCCGCTAATTCCCGGTCCCGTGGGAATTCCTAAGTATCCTATAACCTGCCCAGGAGTATGAAGAATAATTGTACCAAGTTTCGTTTAGTAAACTTAAAGCTTAGTTACAACAGGATATTGCAAAATTCCCACGGGAACGGGAGTTAGCGGGAAAAAACATTTGTATGAAAAAATCTTAACCGTGTAAGATAGATGAAGGGGGTAAAACGGGATCCACGCGTACGAAGTCGCGGGCGGCAGCTAGTTAATAATAAAAAAGATAGTACCTGCAGGATGGAGTTCCGCTTCCTCTCAGTATCCAGCGCCGCTCGCTCGGCGTCCAGCGCTTGCTGCGCCGCCGCCAGCAGTCCATGCAGTTCTGAACTTGTCGCTTCCTTCTCGCACAGAACCCTGTCCAGCTCGGACGATTTGCTGGAAATAAGCGTACATTCTTTAAACTTTACAAAGGGTTGTCTACAAAATGGGTGGTCTTCAGAAACTTTTAGTTACTTCGACCTCTTACTTTTTCTACTGGTGTTAATTGCGTGTTACGTTTTAGACCTGAGTCACATCTTTATCTTTACGTTTATTGTCACGAGAATTCGTCACGTGACAAAGTGTGCGCGGGTGCAGTGCATCGGTGCTGTCTTTCTAGAAACAGTTTTGGTTTCTGGAACTCGCTCAGTGCAACTTTAGGGCGGTCATAAAATATAATTGGTATGAATTTTTCTAGTAAGCCCTTCTTCCGCGATGTCCACCCTCAAAAGGGATGTGCCCGCCTCCCTAATCTACAATGAAAGACTTATCACTCACTTGGTCAGTTCCTCCTCCAGCTTAGTGACTCTGTTGAGCAGTTGCTGTGCGTGCGCGGTCACGGCATCGAGGCGCGCCTGTGCGTCCTGTAGTAAGCCTTCTGCCGCAGCCAGGCGAAGTAGACTTCGCCCTCTTTCCGTATCTGCTCTCGCTAAGGATGTCTCCACCTCTACAGAGCATACATTAGTAGAATATTACTCACTTAGCCAGTTCCTCTTCCAGCTTAGTGACCCTATTGAGCAGTTGCTGTGCGTGCGCGGTGACGGCGTCGAGGTGCGCTTGCGNAAATAAAATAAAAGAAATAAAATAAACAAATAAAGAAATTTTGACTTTGACTTTGACTTTGCTACCTGGCGATGGGCGGCTACCTGGCCTGCTGTCTCAGCGTGACTAGGTCGGCGAGCTGCGCCTTGTAGAGCGCGGTGACGTCGGCGAGGTCGAGGCGCGCCTCGCTCAGTTGCTCCTCCTTCTCGCCGTACATCTGTAGTAGCGCGTCGTACTGCTCCTGCAGGCTCTGTGGATCGATGACGTCACCGTTACTCAAGAAACGACCTGCGCTACAAGTTGCTGGCGCCCGCTACTCGCACCCGTCAAGGAGTGGACGCTGTCAGCTGCCCTTATTAATGGCATATTTGGTATTCGTCTGAGCGTCTGAGCGCGACTCCTCTCCGCTCGTGTTTGTTGCAACTGTGCAATGCATATAAAGACCCGTCGCGACGCATTGTTGTCCTTGGTCCTCCACGCACAGCGCCGTCGAAAAAAGAACGAGACCTGGACTCGCAGAAAAAAAATAAAAATAAATATCCTTGGACATTTTACACTTCGCTTCTAGTCCCAAACTAAGCAAAGCTTGTACTATGGGTACTAGACAACGGATATAAACATACTTAAATACTTTTTTTTTTGTAAATACATACATATTATACATAGAAAACACCCAGTCCAATACAAACAAATATGTTCATGCACACAAATGTTTGTACTGTGCGGGAATCGAACCCGCTACCTCCGGAATAGTTGTCCGTTTCGAACCACTACACCAAACGGCCGACTACCAGAAGCTAGGAGAATCTTTCTAACGCACCTGGTAGTCATCTAACCGCGCCTGCAGCGCCGCTAGACTGTCACAAGCTCTGCTCCATTCAGCTCGTGCTTGATGCAGCTGCGCCGTCAACGCACGCAAGGAGCCGTCGCGCCTGGTGAGCGCGTCTTCAACGCCCAGCGCGGCCGACAGAAGAATGAGACTTGGACTGACGGAAGGTAGGAGGAATGCCGCACCTGGTAGTTATCAAGGCGCGCCTGGTGCAATTACGCGGTCAATGCGCATAGGGAGCCGTTGCGGCTTGCCTTCTACGCTTAGTGCCGCTAACAGAAGAATGATATCTCGACTGACGGAAGAAGAATCCTCCTGACGCACCTGGTAGTCATCAAGCCGCGCCTGCAGCGCCGCAAGACTGTTACAAGCGCGGCTTCTCTCCGCTCTTGCTTGGTGCAGCTGTGCCGTCAGCGCACGCAAGGAGCCGTCGCGGATTGTAACCGCATCCTTCACTATCAGGGAACTAGGATATTCCTTCTAACACACCTGGTAGTCATCCAAACGCGCCTGCAACGCCGCAAGACTTGCAGACGCGACTCTTCTCGGCTCGTACTTAGTGCAGCCATGCAATGCATGTAAAGGCCCCATCGCGGCGCGGCGCATCGGCATTTTCCACGCCCAGTGCCTCGAAAGAAGAAAGAGACCTAGACTGACGGAAGGTAGGAGAATCCTTTTGACGCACCTGGTAGTCATCAAGCCGTGCTTGCAGCGCTGCAAGACTGTCGCAAGCACGGCTCCTCTCCGCTCGTGCTTGGTGCAGCTGGGCCGTCAACGCACGTAAGGAGCCGTCGCGCCTGGTGAGCGCGTCTTCAACACCCAGCGCGGCCGACAGAAGAATGAGACTTGGACTGACGGAAGGTAGGAACAATGTCGCACCTGATAGTCATCTAACCGCGCCTGCAGCGCCGCGAGGCTGTCACAAGCCGTCGCGGAGTAAGGAGTCGTCGCAGCGCATCGGTATCTTTCATGCTCAGCGCCGCCGAAAGAAGAAAGGGTCTGATACTGAGTACTGATACTCCTGACGCACCTGATAGTCATCCAACTGCGCCTGCAATGCCGCAAGACTGTCACAAGCGCGGCTCCTCTCAGCTCGTGCTTGGTGCAGCTGTGCCGTCAACGCACGCAAGGAGCCGTCGCGGCGGGTGAGCGCGTCTTCAACGCCCAGCGCGGCCGACAGCGAAGCAGCTGCGCCTGCGCCCGTCGGCGTGATAGACCCCTCGTCCTGGAATATGAGAGACGAATGTTAAGCCTCGTTCGCACCGGTCGAGTAATTTAGCCGAGTGGTGAGCTATTTAGTAGCTAAACCACATAATAATAATAAGAAGTGTAATATTTGTATTATAAGTAGGTAGTTCTGAATAATAATGATAAGTATATTTTGCGAATGTCTCTGTAATACGAACCAGTTCAAATATAGATTTGGAACACAACGGACGTCTCGTTCCATCTACCTTCTACAAGCCCTACACGGACACCGTACACTTTAAGGCCTCAGCCTCGAACTTAGCGGGCAGCGGGGCGGGAGCGGCGGCGGCGCTGGAGCGGGGCGGGCAACGCAGACCCGTTCTCGAAACAAGCGGGCAGCTCGCGCGGCGCTTTAGCGGCGAAGTGTTGTGTTCGGGGTTGTGTTGTCGAGATATTTGTTTTTATTCGCAAACGAAATGTCTGAACAACGGCAACAATCTTATTTCGATTCAAATTTATTCCTAACGCTCGATTTATTGCGGGCAAAAGAAGGAGTGCGCTGCCCGCTCGTTGCCCGCTCCCTCGCCGCTGCCCGCTCGTTGCCCGCTGCCGCCCCGCTGCCGCGCCGCTGTTTTCGAGAACCGGTCTATTTGATTTTACGCATAAGATCCTGCCGCTCCCGCGCCGCCGCCGCCGCCGCCCCGCTGCCCGCTAAGTTCGAGGCTGAGGCCTTGTTGTAACTAAGCTTTAAGTTTACTAAGGTACCTGCATGCCAAATTTCAAGCGTCTAACTTAAGCGGTTTAGATTTTTCGTACAAAAGGATTTTCCCGCTAATTCCCGGTCCCGTGGGAATTCCTAAGTATCCTATAACCTGCCCAGGAGTATGAAGAATAATTGTACCAAGTTTCGTTAAAATCCGTCAAGTGGTTTTTGTTTCTATAAGGAACATACAGACAGACAGACAGACAGACAGACAGACAAAAATTTTACTGATTGCATTTTTGGCATCAGTATCGATCACTAATCACCCCCTGATAGTTATTTTGAAAATATATTTCATGTACAGAATTGACCTCTCTACAGATTTATTATAAGTATAGATAACCCATAATAACATATAGGCTATAATTTATGACGATCTGTGACAAACATGAATATTAGGAACAAAATGTCAAAAGCGCAAAATGTCAAATCCTGTTTTAATTTTGTTGATTAGTTTAACCGCTGAGTTACTAAAATAAAGTATTAGTTAGGTTTAAAGTTAGGTTAGGTTTAAGATTTTTATGGATTTGTCATTTTGCGCCTAAAGCAACTAAATTTCACGCGAGTCAAAATAACGAAAACTGTATCTTTGTAAAAAAAAAACTTTACTTTCGTACTTCACAATAATAATGTTACAATTGTTATAAAAGTACTGTGCTATGGCTAAGGCTGCTGTTGTTGTAGTTGGATGAATAATGAACGAAGAATGACCACGGATCGTGGTTGTAGCTCCTATTTATAGGAGGTTTGCGGCAGCGCCCTGTTTGTGGAATCTTCCAGTGAAGTCCACGGTGTTATGGTTTTAATAACAACGTCTTTGTTCTTATTTTTTATGTCTACATTGTTGTGAATGGGTTGACTCGCGGGTGAAGCCGCGGGAGAAGCTAGTAAAGAATAAAAAAGAGCGTACCTGCAATATGGAGTTCCGCTTCCTCTCAGTATCCAGCGCCGCTCGCTCGGCGTCCAGCGCTTGCTGCGCCGCCGCCAGCAGTCCATGCAGTTCTGAACTTGTCGCTTCCTTCTCGCACAGAACCCTGTCCAGCTCGGACGATTTGCTGGAAATAAGCGTACATTCTTTAAACTTTTTCAGCGCCACGTCAAATACAGAAGCCAGCACTCTGACGCCACGCTTAAATAACCATTGTATTCATTACTAGCTTTCCGCCGGCGGCTTCGACCGCGTGGAATTTTGTCTGTCACAAAAAAACAATCACCGTTTAGACCTACCCTGGACTACGACAAACATTTTAAAACCAAAATCAGCTCAATCGGCCCAGTTCTCGAGTTTTAATCAGACTAACGAACATCAATTCATTTTTATTTATTAGAAGATAGATTATTCAGTTTACATAATACTCAATTAGCCTATTACTGACATCATTTTAAGGCGGATTAATCCGTCGTTGGCGGTCAACTTGATGTACGGATGTATCCGTCATTGGCGTTGAAAAGGTTAAGCTTCACAACAAAGGGTTTTCTACAAAATGTGTGTTGTCTTCATAAACTTTTAGCAACCTCTTTCTTTTTCTACTGATGTTAGTTGATGTTATGTCTTAAGATCATAGCAGACTTATCAACTCGTAAAGGGATCAACACCGTATCGCCTTTCACACGCTGCCAATCGCAAGGCGAGGCGTTTATATTACAGTGCGGACAAGTGTGCGTTGCAATATGGAGTTTCATATAAAGAATACTCACTGCCTCAAGTTGATACGGTTACGATCCCTTTCCGGGTTGATATTGTGCGGCGACCTTTAGACTTGAGTTCTCTGTATCTGTTTTGGCGTTTCGTCACGTGATAAAGTGTACGCGGGCGCAGTGCACCGGTGCTAACGGTGATCTGCCTTTCTAAAAACAGTCCTGGATTCTGTAACTCGCTTATTGTAATCTTAGAGTGGTCATATAATACACTGTGCGGGCGCAATGAAAGCATCTAAGAGCGCCTACACATCCTCTAGTAAGTTCTTCTTCAGCGATATTCATCCTCAAAAGGGATATCTCCGCCTTCACAACCTACAGTAGTAGATGTCACTTACTTGGCCAGCTCCTCTTCCAGCTTAGTGACTCTATTCAACAATTGCTGTGCGTGCGCGGTGACGGCGTCCAGGCGAGTCTGCGCGTCCTGTAGCAAGCCCTTCGCCGCAGCCAGGTAAGGTAGACTTCGCCCTCCTTTTGGGAGTATCTGCCTTTGTTAAGAGTCTCTGCCTCCACAACCTACAGTAATAGATATCACTTACTTGGCTAGTTCTTCCTCCAGTTTAGTGGCCCTATTCAGCAGTTGCTGTGCGTGCGCGGTGACGGCGTCGAGGCGCGCTTGCACATCCTATAGTAAGCCCTCGGCTGAGGGTTCCGCCGTCTTCTCCCATGATATTGTTCTTCGCAAGGAATGAGTCCGCCTTCCTAATCTACAATGGAAGATATCACTCACTTGGCTAGTTCTTCCTCTAATTTAGTGACTTTATGGAGCAGCTGCTGCGCGCGGCTAGTGATGGCATCCAGACGCGCCTGCGTATCCTGTAGTAAATCCTTGGCTGAGGGTTCCGCCGTCTTCTTCCGCGATATCCTCCTTCAAAAGGGATGTGTCTGGCTTTCTAATCTACAATGAAAGACTTATCACTCACTTGGCCAGCTCCTCCTCCAGTTTAGTGACCCTGTTCAACAACTGCTGTGCGTGCGCGGTGACGGCGTCCAGGCGAGCCTGTGCGTCCTGTAGCAAGCCTTCCGCCGCAGCCAGGTGAGGTAAACTTCGCCTTCCTTTTGAAGCATGGAGAATCTGCCTTCGCTAAGAGTCTTTGAGCAGTTGCGCCGTGTGGTGACGGCAGAGTAGAATACATTTGTCACCAACTCCAACTCTTCCCGCGGGTGTCGTAAGAGGCGACTTAGGGACACTACACATCAAACAGAGAACGGGCAGCAGCGCTCTCTGAAAAACATCAATATTTTAAACTGCGATCTCCAACCCGCCTGCCAAGCGTGGGGATTATGGCAATACCCTCCACTATAGTGAAGGAGGCTCATAGTCCAGCAGTGGACTGTAAAGGGCTGTTTATGATGAAGAGTCTTTGCTTCCACAACTTACGGTAGTAGATGTGACTTACTTGGCCAGTTCCTCTTCCAGTTTAGTGATCCTATTCAACAACTGCTGTGCGTGCGCAGTAACGGCGTTTAGGCGCGCCTGCGCGTCCTGTAGCAAGCCTTCCACCGAGGCCAGATGAGGTAGACTTCGCCTTCCTTTTGGAGCATGGAGAATCTGCCTTCGCTAAGTCTCTGCCTTCACAACCTACAGTAGTAAATATCACTCACTTGGCTAGCTCCTCCTCCAGCTTAGTGACCCTATTCAACAGCTGCTGTGCGTGCGCGGTGACGGCGTCCAGGCGAGCCTGTGCGTCCTGTAGCAAGCCTTCTGCCGCGGCCAGGCGAGAGGTAGCCGCCGCCGCCTCCTCACGAGACACCCGCTCGCGCTCCACCGCCTTGGCTAAAGACGTCTCCGCTTCCGCTGGAAACGGTGAAACATACGATTTTTATCTACACTCGCGAGCAAAAGTATGGAATCAAAAAACATGCGAAAAAGTATGCGAAAACATGTAAATGGTGTATAGTTTCTTAAGCAGTGGTTAATCTATTATTGTTTCACTGTATGTTTTCCAAACAAAATAAAATATAAAATATATAAAATATCACCCCATTAGGTTCGAGTGATTTTTTTTTCTTTATTAGGGTAAAAAACAATCANATTTTGTTGCCAGAGTTTTTAATTTTGCCAGAGTTTTTAATGTTGAATACAATGTTGCTTAAGAAATCGAATTGCAAAAAATCAGTAAATTCAACATCAGCATCATTTACCACAGCTTACTTACATAATATTATAACATGAGTCATTGAGAGTGATAAAAACTGCAACAGACTTTACTTAGAAATTATTAGAACTAAATGACTAAGAAAAATAAAAAATGGTACCAGTTTCAGGGTTATGTTATAGTTTAGCTTAACACTGTAGATACGATAATCATTGAGTTCTTCAAATCATTCGGAACAAAACACAAGATGGTGATTCCATACTTTTGCTCGTAAGTATATTAGTTTAGCCAAAAAAAAAAGGTAGCGTTGTCTCCGTATTCAGCTAAACCCGGCTAAAGCTATACAAGACATATACGGGGTAAGTGGAGGTGGTCGTCATCAACCGTGAACAGTGCCGGATTAAGCCAGCGCGGGGCCTGTAGCAAATTTCTATCAAGGGGCCCTTGGTTTGCTTTGGGTTCTCAAGTTTAGGGTATTAAATGAAACAAAACTGTTACAAATGAACTTTTCTTGATTTAATGTGGGCAAAGGACAATGACCAAAAATGTATGGAGTGTGGTCCAAATGTCCACCACTAACGAGACCTATGTAGTAAAATAATCTACTAAATACTGATTCATTATAACCAAACCGCAATCAAAAATATGCTGTCAGTAAAAAGTTATGACTGAATGAAAAGTCATGTTTTTTACCTTTTCATCCGAAAAATGTTCTTGATATCATTGTATCCATTGCACATTTTGGACTAATCTACGCATGTTGTGTCATGTCGCATATGGCGCGGGGTTATAGAAGAATTTAATTATATCATAAACTAGNCAATGTGTCGAGGTCTAGATTGGCCGGAGGATAAGTTTCACGTCTTAAATGATAATATGGTGAGACTTCGGGGCTTAATTACATGCGCCACTTGGTCAGCCAAGCAGCTGACTTTGCAACAGTCTAGTCACTTTAAGATCACAGTTACATTTGAGGAATGCCGCAGCTGTCTGGTGTCTGGGCAGTGCCGGATTAAGCCAGCGCGGGGCCTGTAGCAAATTTCTATCAAGGGGCCCTTGGTTTGCTTTGGGTTCTCAAGTTTAGGGTATTAAATGAAACAAAACTGTTACAAATGAACTTTTCTTGATTTAATGTGGGCAAATTTAGAGATAACACTTTCAATATCAACTTCTTTAAGCAAATCATGCTCTATATTCAACAAAGTAAGATTATTAAGACGTTCTTGTCCCATCGTGTTCCTTAATTCATTTTTAATACGTTTTAATGTTGAAAAAGAACGTTCGCCACTGCAGTTAGTGATCATGAAAGACATGTAAATGCGCAAGGCAATTTCTAAGTTTGGAAAACACGATTCTAAAGAATTATTTATTAAAAGTTTATAAAATTGCTGCTCCAGAGGCTCCGGATTCTTGCTGTAAATAACAGTAGCCACATCAGAGCCCCGATTACGGTAATTTTTAACGTCTCCAATCCAGACACGCTTCTTGATTCTGCGATACGATTGGTCGTTCAACAGCGTACGTCAGCTGTTTTGACCAATCGTATCGCAGAATCGATGAAGCGCGTCTGGATTGGAAACGTTAAAAGTTACCGTAATCGGGGCTCTGTTTTCAGCTCTGCAAACTGCACTAATTCGCGGCTAGTTCAGTGATTCGTCCCACAACAGGTTCGTCCCACTGGGACGAAACACTGAATTCAAAAAATATATATATTTTTCGTTCTGGATTCGTCCCATTTAATTAATTCTTTAAAATAATGAGATTTAGTAACGTCAGAAAGTCATAGAAATAAAAGAAAACATGAATGTTAACAATGTCTGTATTTAAAAGGAAATCAACATAGAAAATCTTGACTACTCGTATTAATCAGAAATCAAAAATCAAAATCAAATAATGTATTATCAATGATTTTAATTTTTTTTAATTAAAAATTTATGCTGATCTATGAGTAGGTATATTTGTGTTGATTTTCCTTTAAATACAGATATTATTAACAAATTCATGTTTTATTTTATTTCATTGACTTTCTGACGGTACTAAATCTTATTATGTTAAAGGATAAATTAAATGGGACGAATCCAGAACGAAAAATATATATTTTTTTGAATTTAGTGTTTCGTCCCAGTGGGACGAACGTGTTGTGGGACGAATCACTGAACTAGCCTAATTCGCGGCTCACCTAGGCTGTTCTCCAAATCATCTTCGTAAGCACTGACCATACTTAAGGATTTTTCCAAAATCTCTTCTGGTGTAAGAGATTTTAATTGTCGAAATACTTCAAAAACACTAGTAATCTTATGATATTATGCTTTCATACGTTTAGTTAAAGCAGACAGTACGTTATCAATAATGACAATAAACACCTGAACTTCGAAACGTTGCAGTTGTCCAGGTGTTTGATTTTCAACAAAGTCGTCGAGTGTAGTAGAGCCGCTGAAATGGTCGTACTTTGTATTTCGCTTGATTCGTCTTGATGTCTGTTGCTGGTATTAAATGTATAACTATAGAAAAAAAATAAAAATCTGGCCGCTTGAAGGGTAGAAAATATGTGGTATAGAGCTAGTCTAAATACATATACCGATTATAATTAAACATTAGAACATTCACGTTAAAAAGTTCGTAAAATACCTACCTACTTATTTTTATGATTTAACGTAATGAAATTGAGTTTTAGATTTTCAAGTGAAAAGTAAAGCATAGCCTAAGCGCTTCGCGTTTAAGGCATGTAAGATATTTTACGCTCCTATCTAAATTAATATTTTTTTATTTCGGTCAGATAGGCGTTGGAGCGCGGGGCCCCCAAATTCGCGGGGCCCGTAGCATTTGCTACTTTTGCTACGTGGCTAATCCGGCACTGACCGTGAAGTTTTAACAGAGTAGAAAAGGCAGTAAAAGCGGCTGACCGAATATGCGCAGATTAGACCTTCTTAACCCGTCTTCCTGAATCAGGGCCGTCTTTAACCTACTAGGGGCCCTGGGCACTTACGGATCAAGGGGGCCCTTGTCATCTACAAAAAGGTCTTTTGAGCAGACGGGGGGCCCTGGGCATGTGCCCAAAGTGCCCAGTGGGTAAGAGGGGCCTGTCCTGAATCCATTCGCTTCTGGTAAATTAGTGAAGGTCGTGGTCCCGCAGCGAAGACTGAGTGTTCTGATAACATATCGCCATATGACACACGAGACATAAGAATAAACTTGCTGTTCCATCATTTAGGTTGCATAAGATAGGTAATTCATTCTTGGGGAAATGTATTACCATATTTAACAAAATACCACGCAACCTTGTCGAATTGCCAATAAACAAATTTAAGATACATATAAAAAATACCCTTATGTCCAAAGGGTACTTCAAGGTTCGAGACTATATTGATGACAAGGATGCGTGGTCAGTTCAGTCTGCACATATTTGATGTACTTAAATTTGACTATTCTTACCGTTAGATAATTCCTGGCAATAAGTGGTGACTGAGTTTGTTCCGGCGTTTCTTCTCAGCACTTGCCATATGTTTGTCTCGAAGCGCTGGTAGGGCCCAAAAGATAAAGAGACAATATGTAAAGTGCCCCATAAGGGCTACCTTTTTCTTTTTTTAATATTTTCTATTGACGTTCATAAGTGCCACTTGTGGTCTAAACTGAATAAATATTTTTGATTATGATTTTTGATTTTGATTATGGGAGAATGGGAAGGAGGCTCGATGCTGGAGAGCGGCGCGCTGCAGGGCCGCCAGCTGCGCCAGCAGGGCCCGCACGAGGCCGGGGCGCCGGGCCCCGCGCGACACTCACCCAGCTGGGCGCGGAGGGCGCGCGTGTGGTGCGCGTGCGCGGTGTCCCGCTGGAGAGCGGCGCGCTGCAGGGCCGCCAGCTGCGCCAGCAGGGCGCCGCACGACTCCGCGGGCGCCGGCGCCGCGTCCGCGCACGCCAGCTCGCGCGCCTCGCGTACTTCTCGCCGCAGCGCCTCCTCGCGGGTCGCCCAGCGGCGCTCCTCTGAAATGTCGAGGAAAATCGTCGTTATGAAGCTGCTCGGAACAAATAACAAGCTGCGGATAATACAAAATCGGAAAAGGAAGCCTGGAACACTGATGATCGAGAGAAACACAGTGCAGGGTAATGGATTAACTTAAAACTTTTAACTGGCTCAGCTCATCATCTCATACGACCTACGATTCTAAACGACGTCCTACCGCCGCTTCAGTCTCGGGGCTGCTCCTTCTCATCCGTGGAGTGAACGTCAGGCCCCAGAAGGGGGAGAACTGTACTATAAGGACAAGGACAAAGAAAAATAACTTGTAGGGAGTCAAGAAGTGTGGCGCGGTGGAGTGCAATCTGCCCTAGGCAGCCGCAATTCCGCGCACACCTTCCGCGATTCGGCCAGTATAACCGCAAGGTTGGAATGGCCATGGGTGGTGGTGGGCTGCTCCTTCTTCTCCTGCCAGTAACGTCACACTCACCGGCCGTGACGTCGGCCCGCAGGCGCGCAGGTCGTGCTCGAGCGCGCGTGACGTCACACTCACCGGCCGTGACGTCGGCCCGCAGGCGCGCAGGTCGTGCTCGAGGCGCGCGTGACGTCACACTCACCGGCCGTGACGTCGGCCCGCAGGCGCGCCAGCTCGGCGGCGCGCGCGGCAGCGTCAGCACGGGCGGCGCTCAGGTCGCGGGCTGCTCCTCACCAGTGACGTCACACTCACCGGCCGTGACGTCGGCCCGCAGGCGCGCCAGCTCGGCAGCACGCGCGGCAGCGTCAGCGCGGGCAGCGCGCAGGTCATGGTCAAGGCGCGCGTGACGTCACACTAGTGTCCGACCGAAACTAGTTTTAAGACCGAAACCGAAATCGAAAACGAATTTCGGCAACGGTGTCTATTTCGGCCGAAACCGAAACCGAAACTTCCATACAAGGCTCATATTTTGAGGGAAAAATAAAGAAAACGTTATTTATTATATTCAGTCAGTCTTTATTGTTTTCTCTTTAAATTGCATTAAATTTGAACTTATAAAGCGTCTTTTTACTCTAAAAGATATCAAATTGTGTATTAAAAAAGAAAAAGAAGGATTTATAGTCTAGATTTTTTTTAATTACTCGCAATATTCAGGACATCTACAAAACCCGTCCCATGGTCGGGTCTTTTACCTTAATAATTTCTCAAAACAGAATTGGTAGTACGTAAGTTAGTATCTACTACTTGGATACCGTGGTGATAAATACTAAAATGAACTTTGAAACTCTGAATCAATAATATTATCACCATGAAATGCACTATAGTCATTACTTACTACATAACTAATGTTTGTTTACGTATCGCATTTGCGAACCAAAACCATTCGGTTTCGGTCGTAGTTTCGGTAAGTTTGCCGCCGAAAACGAAACTAAACCGAAACTCGTGTTTTTACCGAAACTCAACCGAAAACGAAACCGAAATCGAACATTCGGTCGGACACTACGTCACACTCACCGGCCGTGACGTCGGCCCGCAGGCGCGCCAGCTCGGCAGCACGCGCGGCAGCTTCAGCACGGGCAGCACGCAGGTCGTGCTCGAGGCGCGCGTGACGTCACACTCACCGGCCGTGACGTCGGCCCGCAGGCGCGCCAGCTCGGCAGCACGCGCGGCAGCGTCAGCACGGGCGGCGCGCAGGTCGCGGGCTACTCCTCGCCAGTGACGTCACACTCACCGGCCGTGACGTCGGCCCGCAGGCGCGCCAGCTCGGCAGCACGCGCGGCAGCTTCAGCGCGGGCAGCGCGCAGGTCGTGGTCAAGACGCGCGTGTGCCGCGCGTGTGCGGGCCAGCTCGTCGCCGCTGCCGCGGAGCGCGGTGAGCTCGCGCCGCGCCGCGTCCAGCGACGTCCGCGTCGACTCCAGCCGGTGTGTAGCGTCATCTAGCGCGCTTTTTGTCTACAACACATCAACGCCGGCTCTCTTCGTTACGTTTTATCCGCTGAATATAAAGCACCTTTTTCTAAAATACAGAAATGAAAAGAGTTCATGCTCTGCATTTTTGTATAGGTAGGCCGAAGGTACTACCACAGAATAATAATAAGTACTACGTACAGAAGTTTTACTTGACGAAGGTATTTAAAAAAAAAAAGTAATTTAGCTTGTCTCAAGAGTCAAGCACCATTTTGTTGACAAACGTCAGTGATCGGTATTGCGCCGAAGCTATAGTTCCAAAATACTGGACTGTCCTGTCGATGACATTGACAGTGGGGCGCCACCGTCAATACCGGATCGCTGGTTCAGATTTTTGCCATGTTGGAAACCATATAGTTGAACGATGGTAGCGCCCCCCTGTCATTGAGTTTGGTGGGACAGTTCAGCGTGGGTCATCTATACNCGTGAACGGAATACGTCACCGACACTACGAGAGATTATTGATTGAAAGGCTTTTTGGTGTAAAAATAAAATTATATTGTAAAATAAAATCAAGTTACATGTTTAGTTCGAAGTAGAAAAGTCAAGAGAAGAGAAAAAAGTGACAATCGATAAGAAACATAAAAAGTAAAAAGAAGTTTCTCGCCGGCCAGGCGCGCGGCCAAGGAGTTTGGTCACACATTTGCGACCTCTACCATTATTTCCTAGGACGTCATTAGACAGACCTGTACACATAGTTTCCGAGGATTAAGCGAAAAACCGAAAAGTGGCACCTTTAAACCCCCCTCTCCCCGCCGGCTCAAGGGCTAAGGGCGGGGACTTTTGCTATGTTTACCTCCTAACTAGTCTAAATAAAGTCCTGAAGTCAGAAATTGTGTTCTACAGTTTTCCATCTATAATGCTTTATTGATTGGACTAACAGCAGATAATACTCGTATTGAAACCATACACATCGTTAACAAGAACTGATAAAATACTCATATAGGTAAATCCCGCACGATAGTGTTCATTTGTAATAGGCTTATTTTATAGCCACACGTTGTGTAATATGTGTGCTAAACCAAATGCATTTAGAACACCCATTGTATTATAGAACGAAACTCAAAGCTCGATTCAAACTCAAGCATACATTGTTCTCCAATATTTATGTAGGTTGGGGTCCATCCTTTACGTCCATTTTTAGTTTGCCTTGGCCTTTTCGACCTCATTGACAACCGTCACTGAAAACAGTCTGGGCCCCGATTACGCTAAAAATTTTCATCTGCCCGGACAACGAACGAACATCAGCTGTTTTGATAAATCCGTATCGCGGTGTCGTTTTGACAGCTAGTTGAAACGAAGCATAGACGTAAACGTAAAGCTAAATATCTCATGTGACAATGAAAATACTAGGAAGGTACGTCCATTACCGTGATACCGAATTTGCACCTCAGCTGGAATGAAAAACGGAGAGCAACTGGAGAAGAAGCGCGTATGTATTGGAGACGTTAAAAATTAGCGTAATCGGGGCACTGATCTCCTCCACTTACCTCTGCCAGCTCGGCGTCCAGCTTCTTGTTGGCAGTGGTGAGCCGGTACACGGCTTCCACCTGGCTCACCTCCAGCTCTTCCTTGGCGGAAAGCGAGCGCTTCAGTCGCTCTAGCTCGCTCGTCTGGTCTGCTATCTTGTCTCTGGAATGTATAATACAAAAGTCAAATTCATCATCATCATTTCAGCTATAGAACGTCCACTTCTGACCATAGGCCTCCTTTAATGATATTCATAATCACCGGCTGGTAGCGGCCGGCATCCAGCGCCTACCTGCTACCTTTATGAGGTCGTCCTTCTACCTTGTGAAAGGACGTCCTACGCTGCGTTTTCTGGTACGTATACGTAGGTACGCTTACGATATTTGCTTCGTAAGTTCGTTTCAGACAAATGACGTCTACTGCTAGACGAAAGCTACATTCAAAGATTTGCATAATGACCAGTCGCGCTGCACATAATTTCGTTCGTTTCGTNTCAGAGTGCAGGCAGGCCAAAACTAATACAATGCGAATATAATTGGTGTAAATCGTATACGATTAATGCAGATTTGATTGCAAATTCAATGCATTCTTTAAAAATACGATTCGTCATATACCGTCATTTGTAACTATACTCAACATCAAATAAACCGCACCTTCCGCGACGCGAACTTTAAACGACGCGATTGTCTTTTGACACAATCATGGTGTCCCAACAATATTGGTGTCATTTGAAAGCCCAATAAATATCCTTAAAGAAAAACACATTTAATTTATTAATAAATCATTAACATATGTATACCATAAATGTGACTTGAAAAAAGACCTCACTTTGGGCTCACCTCTGGGATCAATTAGACCAAATTTTATGGTTATAAAACCAAATAATGATCACACGTGTCCTGTTTAACAGATGGATAGCGAATTATCTCAACTTAACAGTTTTATAGCCATAAAAGTTGGCTCAAGCGTAACTACCTATTTTTTTTTAAGTGACTCTGGATCCTTCCAAAGACACATTTTTGGGGTAAAAACCTTTCCTTTAATGAAATGAAGTTTAGAACTAGGCTTTTAAATGGTGCCAATATCGGTGGGAAGTGGGGATGCATACGTTTAAAAGTGCTTGTCGCGGGAGGTGCGATTTATTTGATGTCGAGTGTATTAATAGATGGTGCAAGCCTTCTGAAGATCGTTAAGTTGCAGACAATATACCAACAAAATTCAATTCTATAACCTATCTAGCCAATAAGGCAATGTGTAGTTTGACTCAAGGTGACGAACGAACAATTTGTTATCGTGTGGAAATGTATTCCATGCCAGCTTGCCCTAGCACACTCGACGTAAACACATACCGCCACATACGAAGTCACAGCAAAGTTATATTTTGAAAGTCAATAAGTGCAAGTCCTAATTATGTAGGTACAGTCACGGAATGAGAAAGGTTCGTCAGTTTTCAAATTGATTCCTTCAACGAATCGCGAGCACATATTACCTTTTGAAACTATGTTACAGAATAATCTCGAGTTAGAGAAAATAATCTTTAACTGTTCGTCAGTAAAGTTCAAAATTATTCAGATCAAAGTTGTTTGACGATTTATCTTGTCAAGATTATTATGATTGATAAACTAAAACCTTCTTGTTGGTTCAGCCTGCCATTATTATTTCTATTAAATAAAAAAAAACTACATTTTGTAACATTGCATGGGATAGAAAATTAAACAAGCAAAACCTTATTCGTCAGCAAACGTCATATTTATTTAAATGTTAGCAGCACTGTTTCTTGCACTGTTATGTTGGCAGGTTTGACTCTTACAGTACCTTTTTTTTTTTTTATTTTTTTTTTTTAACGGGGAAAAAATGCGTTGAATCGCATACCTACCCTGCGGGGACAGGGTAGGTTATGTGGGGCTCACCAAGTCAGAAGGACGAGGCATACCCACTAAAAAGACCCCGGTGCTCCGTCACTCGCCTAAGTGGGAGGAGACTGTGGGTTTCCGGGCAAAGCCTTCTCTACCACAGCCCCTCCCGGCGATTGCCCGCCTACACGGCGGGCCCTACAAGCCCCCCAGCACGGGGGGCGGCAGGAACAGCTGGAAGCACACAGCTGTTCCCGTCCGACGGTGGTGGTGACCTGTGCAATGCAGGCGGGGGCGCCCCCACGCCCCCGGCCCGCTGGCCATCACCGTGGAGAGGAAACTGGAGGCGATCATATTGTCGCCTCCTCTGACCCCTCCTCCGTCGTCGGAGCGAGGGGACTCTTACAGTACCTAGTGCAAGCGAAAACCGACACTAAGGTGACGAACCTTTTCATTCTGCGACTGTACCTAACTAACTACACAAAGATAATAATATTATTCCACTAGCGGCCGCCCGCGACTTCGTACGCGTGGATCCCGTTTTATCCCCTTAGGGGTTGAATTTTGCAAAATCCCGTCTTTGTACCACCTACCTACGCACCGACGTTCTAAAAGGAACCCACATGCAAAACTTGAGACTCCTAGCACTTGTAGTTTCTGAGATTTCGTGATGAGTGAGTGAGTCAGGNACAGAAAATAATGGCCTATTAAGTACATGTTTTTTTGTGTTATTATGAAAGTTCAGAAAACTGCGCAGTTTTTAAAATTATTTTGGACCTATGGAATTTTGTTTTTTTTTTTTAACTTTTAAGTTGAAAATTTTAGAATGTTCCGCTAAAAGCATATTTTTTATGTTTCTAGCAAAAATTTTGTATCTTGCATCAAAGATAGGAAAATGATTATTTTTTTCAAAAATCTGCAATTAATAGGGAATCTGTCAAAAAAAAGAAATCTGAGAAAAGTCGACCCAAAAAAAAGGTAAAAAAATTTAAAGCCTACTAGGTCATACAATTTGAAAAAATCACAAAATTAACGATAACTTCTAAACTATGAAAAATCGTAAAACATACATGGGGGTGAAATCGATAGGTCTAGTCCTCACCTATCACCTGCTTTCGGCTTGACACCTTACAAGAAACACCCTGTATAGGGCTGACTTCGGTAAAATGATGTGACGTGAGGTGCCAAACTGCAGAAAATGGCGGAGGAAATACATGATTTAGCATGAATTATCTACTTATTTAGCTCTCAGTGTCTTATGGCAACTTAAAAAAGTACATTCTGTGTTTTTATTATTATTTAGGCAGTTAAATACTGCACAGTATTAAGTACACCATTTTCTTTATTTTTTTCCATCATACACAGAATACGCGTGCGTGAGTCAATGCTCGCTCGTATGTGAGGCCTTGTCGAATAGTAATCCTGTAGGGGGCCATCGTGCGTGTTTTGTTTTCGATGTAAACTCGCGGAGATGAACAGGCCTGGTGCTACGTAAACTAGACATGTTACGAGTTAAAATAAGATATAAAGAATCACTACAAATATTTCATTTGCAGTTTGAATCCATCATGTATATTTCTCGACGAAACATCGCGAAAGCATGTAATCTATCGTGTAGTTCAAAACAAATAATTACGAACTAATTACCGATCTGAATAACGTTGTTACAAGACATAAATCAGTCACTTATGTAGATACTTAGATACACTTATAACAAACACGCGATGTAGTGCATGATTCACACGTGTTACTGATGAATGATTAAATGCTTAATAAACTGGTAAAGAGGAGATAATGAATTGTAACGATCTAGAAATGATAAATTACAATATTCTCATCAAAACAGCGGTACATGATCATTAACAAATGTTAGTTATAATACCGAACCACCAATAACGACAGCAGATAATACTAGTATTGAAACCATACACATCGTCAAGAGAACTGATAAAATACTCATATAGGTAAATCCCGCACGATAGTGTTCATTTGTAATAGGCTTATTTTATAGCCAGACGTGTAATATGTGTGCTAAACCAAATGCATTTAGAACACCCATTGTATTATAGAACGAAACTCAAAACTCGATTCAACTCAAGCATAGATTGAAGACTGATCTCCAATATTTATGTAGGTTGGGGCCCATCATTTACGTCAATTTTTTGTTTGCTTGGGCCTTTCCGACATCATTGACAACCTGTGGCCTAATTCACGTATTTTGACAGTCAATATCTCGCTGACTTTCAGAAGTCATGCCATTAAAAACAGTTCTAAATCCGTATTCACAAGGTTCATTTCGATAGAACGATTACTCGATAGGATCGCAACTCAGCGATTTGTTGTCATTGAAGTTTTGTTACGTAGTCCCATTGAAAAACAGTCTGTTCTAAATCCGTATTCACAAGGGTCATTTTGATAGAACGATTACTCGATAGGATCGCAACTCAGCGATTTGTTGTCATTGAAGTTATGTTACGTCGTCCCATTGAAAACAGTTCTAAATCTGTATTCACAAGGGTCATTTTGATAGAACGATTACTCGATAGGATCGCAACTCAGTGTTTTGTTGTCGTTGTTGTTTTGTTACGTGAATAAGGCTACTGATCTCCTCAACTCACCTCTGCAAGCTCGGCGTCCAGCTTCTTGTTGGCGGTGGTGAGCCGGTACACGGCTTCCACCTGGCTCACCTCCAGCTCTTCCTTGGCGGAAAGCGAGCGCTTCAGTCGCTCTAGCTCGCTCGTCTGGTCTGCTATCTTGTCTCTGGAATGTATAATACAAAAGTCAAATTCATCATCATCATTTCAGCTATAGAACGTCCACTTCTGACCATAGGCCTCCTTTAATGATATTCATAATCACCGGCTGGTAGCGGCCTGTATCCAGCGCCTTCCTGCTACCTTTATGAGGTCGTCCAAAAACCTTGTAGGAGGACGTCCTACGCTGCGTTTCTGGTACGCTTACGATATTTGCTTCGTACGTTCGTTTCAGCCAAATGACGTCCACTGCTGGACAAAATCTTCACCCAAGGATTTCCATAACGACTGGGCTGCACGATAATTATTTGCTTAGCAAATTAAAATAGCGAAGAGAAACGAGAGATTTCTTATTTGATGAATCGCAGGCCAAAACTAATACGAATATAATTATAAAATAATAATAAATAAATCTTTGGACAATTTCACACAGCGCCAGCTAGCCCCAAAGTAAGCAACTTAATGCTTGTGTTATGGGTGCTAGCTTAACGGATATACTACTTATATACTTTTTTTTTAAATACATAAATATTATACATAGTCACACCCAGACCCGTCACAGAAATTAAAATTCATCATTTCAATTTCTGCCCGGCCGGGAATCGAACCCGGGACCTCTCGGCATAGTAGTCCGTTCTGAACCACTACACCAAACGGCCGACTAATTGGTGTAAATCGTATACGGTTAATGCTTAAATGCGGTAAATTCTTTAAAAATACGTCTCGAGATAACGTCATTTGTGACTATTAATAGATGGTGCAAGCCTTCTGTTGATCGTTAAGTTGCAGACAATATACCGACAAAATTCAATACAGGCAACGTGTTGTTTGGCTCGGGGTGAACTGAACGTGCTGTAAATGGCCAGGATTTTAATATGAAACATCTTTAAACTACATACACCATTTATTTAGAAACACTAGTACCGAAACGAACGAACAATTTGTTATCGTGTGGAAATGTACTCCATTCCAACTTGCCCCCTAGCACGCTCGACGTAAACACATACCGCCACATGCAAAGTCACAATTTTGAAAGTCAATAAGTGCAAGTCCTAAATAAGTACCTACACAAAGATAATAATATTATTCCACTAGCGGCCGCCCGCGACTTCGTAGGTACGCGTGGATCCCGTTTTATCCCCTTAGGGGTAGAATTTTGCAAAATCCTGTCTTAGTGAGCACCTACGTTCTAAAAGGAACCCCCATGCAAAATTTGAGACTCCTAGCACTTGTAGTTTCTGAGATTTCGTGATGAGTGAGTGAGTCAGGAAATCCGTAAACGAACTAAAGTCGCTGACATAGCCCGACGGATTAGCAAGCTGAAGTGGCAATGGACAGAGCACATAGTGCGCAGAACTGACGGCCGATGGGGCAGCAAGGTTCTGGAATGGAGGCCGCGTACCGGAAGGCGCAGCGTGAGACGTCCACCTACAAGGTGGACTGACGACATCGTAAAGGTAGCAGGGAAGCGCTGGATGCAGGCCGCTACCAATCGATCAACGTGGAAAGCATTAGGGGAGGCCTATGTTCAGCAGTGGACGTCCTATGGCTGACATGATGATGATGATGATGAGTGAGTCAGTCCATCAGTCAGTGACCTTTCGCTTTTATAGATAAAGGTCTCACCTTAGGCTCTTGATGACCTGTTCATTGTCCTTCTCCTTGGCGCGGAGCTTCTTGATGATGTTGGAGTGCTGCAGCTGCTGCCGCGCCAGCTTCTCTCCCTCCTCCTGTAGCTGGGTGATAACGTCGTCTTTCTCTTTCAGGCTGTTCTCGAGGTCGGACGAGTTCTTCCGAGACGCCTCGGTCTTGAGGGTATCTAGTTGTTTTCTTAGCTGATCCTGTTTCAATCAACGATATAACAGGATTAAGCTCTAAACAAGATTTGCCTACACCAGACATGTGAAAGTAAATAAAAGCTTGTAATTACGGTTTAGAAACCACCCTCATTGTTACGAATGTATATTACGCCAGTATTCACAAAAGATGTTTTCTTAAGTGAAGCAGCAAATCGAACGCTCAGCGTTGAATGGAGCTCTGTGTGTCACCAAGTGCGTCCACGCGCACTGTGAGACCTCTTAGCAATGTTTGTGAATACGAGCGTTAAAAAGCACACGGAAAATGTAAATTCGGGTATGCGTCGCGACGGTGCAATTATCCGGGAATTTTCAGCCGCGACGGGCACGGCTCCAGTGGCGCAATTGGTTAGCGCACGGTACTTATAAGGCAGTGTACGTGTGAGGAATGCCGGGGTTGTGAGTTCGAGCCTCACCTGGAGCAAATTTTTGATAGAGATTTGTTGAAAAACAAAAAAAATCGGTAATGAACCACCTTCCCCTTTTGTTTTAATTAGAGTAATAACAATGTTTGGAGTTTCGAAGATAGTTAAAATTTTCTAATGCAATGGAAATACTTTAGGCATTTCTACCGCCAAAATAACTTCAGCAAATGTAGATGTGGGCGATCATTGACGATTGACGAAAATTTAAAATTAAATTTCTACCCACGTGTGTTGGTGTGATGAAAATCACTACCTTTGCCTTGAGTTACTTCAGTTGAAATGGTAGGTAGGTACCTAGTTAAAAACAAATAATTTAAATGAATTTTAATTCCAGTACTGTAGTAAACCTCACAAGTCACCTTGTAATATAATAATGCATGAATTTTTTACTGTTCAAAGATTCCCAAGATGACAGAATTTGCCTGATTGAAAAATATATACAAAAAAAGTATTTAAAAAAATAGAATAGAATAATAAAATAAAATTGGTCAGTTTAGTTTTGACCCACAAAAAGAATCTGCAGTGTGTTACCACTATCAGAAAGATGATACCTAGCATATCACTCATCACATGCTCTACCACTATGTACTTAAATACACCCAACAACAAAAAATTAATTACCTTTTCTCTTATCGCTTGCTGGAATTTCTTTTCCAACGCCGACATCCTCTGTGTGTAGTCTTCAGTGATCATGTTGATCTCGCCGCTCTCGTGCTTGGCCACCATCGAGTCCAGCTGGCTCTTGAGGTCCGCATTACTCTCCGCCAGCTCCGCATTGTTCCGGCTCACCTCCATCAGTCTGTTCTCCCGCGCCTCCAAGATTTCGGCCATTTCACAAAGCCTTCTCATCAACCTCTCATTCTCAGAACTCTGACTCTCATCACTGGTGTTGCTTTGAATGGAAGCCTCCGACAACTCCCGATTGTGTCCCCGTATCTTTGTAGCTAATGATTTCCCCAGCACCAAGTCTACCAGGTTCGGTGATGTTGTTCCATCAAATTTGGATTGCCTTAGCCCATACTTGGCTGGACTACTTCTGCAAAAATGACCGTCACCGTTGGGGCTTGGAATTATTTCAATATCCGACGAAGTGGCAGTCTCCAGCTCATCCCCAGATGTGTGTCCAGATGTCCTGTCAGAGCCAATCTTCACTAAATCACTTTTACTATCCGAGCTAATTGGAGAAGTCCTCTCCTTTAAGCTCCCCTCTTTTTGGGAGGAGTCGCTGTCTGGCCCGCTGCACTGCTGCTTCTCAACATTTACAAATGCAGAACTCTCAGACCTGAGCATGTCCACAGACACGTTCACATTGTAAAATGATGAGGAGTCACTAAGTTTCTCCATCAAAATATCTTCTTGATCCATTTCTTTTTTTGGCTCTTCTACTGTATTTTCCAAAATAATGCTCTCATTGTCAGCGTTTAGAGTTCTATCAGACCACGAGCCATCATTAGATGAGTTCTCACTGATTTGCATTCGATGGGGCAACACCGACTGTTCTAAATGTATGAAATCCTTCTCTAAAATTTTTCGACTTTCACTCCTAAGCATTTTTGGAAAGGGACTAGCAGATTTGTCGTCTGTATCTAAAACTGTTGGTGCGGTACACTCCGATATAGAATTATAAGACATAGTATCTTCATCATCGTCTGCAACCAGGCTCACACTATCAGCAGTCTCGGCTCTCTCAGTCCGCTCTCCCACAGGAGTGGACTTCTTATCGCTCACATCACCAGGAGACAAGTGGGATGATGTGGAGCTACTATTTCTATCACTAGAGTAACTGTCAAAGCCAAGGCACTCAATAGAACTCGGACTAACCAAACTGTCGGGTAATATTTCCACAGAGTCAGAGTTCAGTTTTTGCCCCACACTGCTGCTGTGCGACATGGACTGCCCGGAAGCTGCTTCCGAATCGGGGGTCGTTTTTAAACTGTGTGACAAAACTTCTACAGAATCAGAACTGTTTCTGCTAGATACCAATGATAACCTGTTTGAACGCGATGAACCTCTTCTGTCTTCAACTTTTGAGAAATCATCTTTTGATGTTTTAGCAATCTTGAATTCTAAACCTTCAGCCCCGTCTGACATAACTAGCTGGCTTTTAGAAAATAAATCATCTTGACTGCCATATTTGGCGTCAGCAATCACATTCATAGATTTTGCTTTGGGAGGTTGGACTATGGTGGAATCATGCTCACTTGTAGGTTGTTCAAAGAATGAACCTGCGAAGGATCCCCACAAGCTCTGCGAGGTCGACTTCGACGGGCTCTCCGTGACCACTGGCTGCTCTTTGATGGGGTCATCCTTGCCACTCTCAGCGCTCACGGTCAAGCCCCACGAAGAGAAGAAATCACTGTCTTTTTGAGGCGTCCCACTCTTGCTCGGAGACGATTTCGCGGTGCTCTGTGGCGGGGACTCATCCTCGGGCTCCTCGCCGCTCTCATCCTGTATGTCTAGAGCCTTGTCGATGGTCTTCTGGGCCTCCTTCAAGGCTGTCTTTGCCAAACTCGTCAGGCCTGACGTGTCGAACCAATTCATAATGAGGTCACATCAGAAACGAATACTATCACAATAGCACAACAAAACACGTAACAAACACTTTTTTATATCGTCCGACACGGTTGATAGACGGTTGTTATGAGAAAAACTGGAATCACAACACAGCACATCAATCAGGTGACGTTTCCATTTTGTTTATATTTTTCAATTTTGTCCCCTCTGTCAACCAAAGAAACACTTAACTTTTTAGCAAATTTTGGTCAGAATTGATGCGCAATTACCACAGTAATTTGCATAAATCGCTAATATCTTTCTGTAAATTACATTTTGTGCTAAATAAACGAAAGATTTTGACATTTGTTATCATAAAAAAGAACGTCAATCGACTTCGGCAGTGTCGTATAAGTATTCGGGTATTTTCGGCCCCGTCAGACACAGCTCCAGTGGCGCAATTGGTTAGCGCACGGTACTTATAAGACAGTGTACGTGTGAGTAATGCCGGGGTTGTGAGTTCGAGCCTCACCTGGAGCATATTTTTGATAGAAGCAAATTAAAAATACATGGCAAAATAAGCTGGTTTTGCATTTTGTTTTTTAGATGTAGTTGTTAATTGAGTAGCACTAAACAAGATATTTTTGCAATTCAAACATCAGTCTGTTGTGACAACTATCTATCGCGTGCTATCGCTAAGAAAATACATGTACCTACTTAAAAACAACTGTTTTAGAACTGTAATCACTCAATCACTGATGTAGTACTTAAGGCGAACTTAATTTCAAAGAGGCATAGAGCATTCTCCCTCAGTCAACCTTTGAGTCAAGTAAAAATTGGGTTGACAGTGCCTGTACAGTACATCCATATTGAAGTGAAGACATACTTATTATAATATTTGTGATACTTAACAAATTAAACACATTAATTCTTAGTTTATTATTTTATTTAAATACACTAATTTTAAAAGAATATTTAGCAGACTTATTTACAATATTAGAAAATAATCCTTTCAATATTATAAACTCTCTTATACATATTTTAATGTTTATCCAATTTATCATACAAACAATACAGACACCGGCAATAGTGCAATAATTAATGCAATCAATAAATAAATACTAATAACTTGATTTCTTATATTAAACATACATTTAATTCAGCAAGCCTGAATGTTAACTGGCTAACGAATAAAAAGATTCTGTTTTAGCCACCATCCAAGGATTCACGTACTTTTATAGCACGTAAGTAGATAGATTTATACAAAATTTTAATATGATTGTATCCATTAGGTTTTCAACTTTTCTTTCGTAAAAATTTTGATGACACGTACGTGGCTCATATCATAAGGCTAATGGCTAAAACAACACCTCATTACAATATTACATAATTAATTTTAACTTGCCTAAGCATGCCCGATCAAACAGGTGGCGCTATAGCGTTTGCCACGTGTTCGATTCCCGGGACATGCAAATTTTTATAACGATACTTAGTTGGCGCATGACTCATCCTCGTTTTCGAATGTTAAAACTTACCTAAGTACTAAGACTTAAATCTTGACTTTCTGAGGATAACATGATTTATAAGCTCATTCTAAATTAATTATACATATAGTTCTCTGAGCTGAAAATAAGAGGAACTGGTGACATAGTCATTCAGCTAGCTATTGCAGGATGTTAAATTGATGTATAATACATAGTTAATGGACGAATAACGTGAATTCAAGATATTAAAATTAATCAAATGTTAAAATTAACCCTTAAATATAATTTAATCTAAATTATAATATCACCAACAGTTTTACGCGACTTCGGACGCGTAGAATTTGGTTTACAAATAAAATACGAAAGAGTACAGCCCGGAAGAATAAAAAACTTTTTCAAATTCGACATACCTACATAATAAATGCTCGGAACAGATTTTGGCAACCTTGTAATGATTATGATAAAACTGAGACACATTGAACTCTTTCTGATTCTAATTTAGTGGTTAGCAAGATTGCCAAATCCCTACCATTAATTTACAGCCTTAAACCGGAATATATGTAAACTAATTAATAAACTAACTAAATAAAACAAATAAATTCTGACTCGGACACAATAACGTAAAATAACTAAACAAAAAATGCGTCTTATCTATACGACACACTAAGAAAATCTTCTAAAAATGTAATATCACTATAAAAACACCTTTAATTTAAAATAACGTTAGTCTTACTTATATTCAAACAGTTTTAAATGTTTTACATAACTAAGTTCAATTCAGTAACAGGAATGTAGTAAATTAAATACACTTATTTAAAATTTCTGCTTAAGGAAATACCAAGTGCATTCGTTATCATTCCTTGTTAACCATACCCCCGTACCATAACCCTGGTGGTATGGTCAACTATTCTCTTTGTTATCGGTACCACCATTGATATTACTGACTCATGAGCTATGATATTAATCGCGACCACCGTGACATGCAATGTCAGGGGCCAGGCCCCCCCTAAAATAGAACTCTAATGCCCGTTTCTACAATCAATCCCTAATTTTTAAGTGACCCCTACGGTAACACATAACAGGTGTTTTGTTTTCATAGGGGTCACTTAAAAATTAGAGATTGATGGCGAAAACGGGCATAAAGGCTTCCACAGACCAAACGCGGGTCAGAAGCAGTGCGGGTCAGTTGCAGCGCGGCTGAGGCACATTGAAAGCAGCGCAGTTTCAACGCGGGCGGTTGTCAAAAATTTAAATATGTATTCGAAAACCGCTTTCAACGCGCTACTATCGCCCTGCGTCCGGTGTGTCATGCTGATATGGCCTGTGGAAGCCTTAAGTCTCCTCTTGTTCTAATAAGGGGGCGGGGCAAGCTTATATGACGCCCGTATTGGCTGTGGTGGGCGGGGCTGGCTGCGTGAAAAGCGACGAAGCGCCCTGGAACAGCTGCTTCTTCACGAAGTCCGTGGTGGCCGACTTGAGGTTCTCCTTGGCGCCGAACTTGCACTTGATGTAGCCTAACAGGTTCGCTCCTGTTAGCGTCAGGGCAATCAGCACCAGCAACTGGAAATGATGATGAATAGGTAATTCATTCTTGGGGAAATGTATTACCATATTTAACAAAATACCACACAACCTTGTCGAATTACCAATAAACAAATTTAAGATACATATAAAAAATACCCTTATGTCCAAAGGGTACTACAAGGTTCGAGACTATATTGATGACAAGGATGCGTGGTCAGTTCAGTCTGCACATATTTGATGTACTCGAATTTGGTTATTCTTAGCGTTAGATAATTCCCGGCAATTAGTGGTGACTGAGTTTGTTCCGGCGTTTCTTCTCAGCACTTGCCATATGTTTGTCTCGAAGCGCTGGTAGGGCCCAAAAGATAAGGAGACATGTAAAGTGCCCCATAAGGGCTAACTTTTCTTTTTTATTATTTTCTATAATAATTTTGACGTTCATAAGTGCCACTTTTGGTCTAAACTGAATAAAAACTTTTGATTTTTTTTTTGTTGAATGATGGTTCAAATCAGCGGCTTTATTAAGGAACGGGACTATTCCCACCTCTCGTTCCCACCGCTGCAACTCCTGTGTAGCCAGGTAAACAGCTTGACCGCCATAAAAACCCAACCAGTGAAGGTCAAGTTTGTCCCGGGGGAAAGTTAGTGTCATTGGACCCGCAACGAAATTAATTAGAACAACACAACTATACACACAAAGTGGAAGGTGTCCAGTGATCTTTATTAAAGTAACTGACAATTAACCAATGAAAAACTTCAATCCCTACAAATGAGTTGAAGATAGTTGTGTTTTTACTGCTATATCATTAGGTATTCGCTGCAGAAACACGACCCGCAAAGACAAATGGAGAATTTAGCCTACACGTTGCTGGCCTAGGTGTCTCTTCTATTTATGGTAAAAACTAATAATAGCAGCCATTATTGATTAGGTAGGCAATATCCAGGTGTGTTCCGCGACTTTCACCGGATCTATTGCCTGGCCTGCTGCTCTCATAGCGTTTTCGGGTCAAGAACTTTCTGATTCTTTCAGACGCGGCACCTGGATGCAGACAGCGCAGGACCAGTCTTTGTGGGAATCCTTGGGAAGAAGGTCTGTCTAGCTAATGTCCTTTAGCTGTAGATGTTCTGTACCGACAAAGCACAGCGTCAGACGTCCACCCACAAAGTGGACAGTATGACCTTATAGAGGTTGCAGGAAGGCGCTGGATGCAGGCCGTTGCCAACAGGCTAATCTGGAAATCATTGGAGGAGGCTTGAAGTCTCCAGCGCCTTAAACAATCAACAAAAAAATGTCAACATTCAACAAAATTCATGTTGAATGGACAAACACGCGCTGGAGACCCGACTTTAGTTCAGCACGTCCTGTGGCTGAAATGCTGATGAGGTGTAAGACCACTTTATGTCCTGTCTGAAATGATAGTGATGGTCAGTGTCACTCACCATCCACTCGAACTTGAGGCGGAAGAGGCAGACGACGAAGAAGAGGGCCCACACCAGCGGGCACAGCACCAGCCCCAGCCAGAACAGCCGCGACTCGTTGGCGTTCACTCGGCTCTACGACACCACGCCACTTACTTTACTCATTGTACTACCACAGAATAATAATAAGTACTACGTACAGAAGTTTTACTTCGCGAAGGTATTTAAAAAAATGTATGCTCAATGCCATTTACAATATGGTGTAATTTAGCCTGTCTCAAGAGTCAAGCACCATTTTGTTGACAAACGTCAGTGATCGGCACTGCGCCGAAGCTATAGGGCTGACTTCGGTAAAATGATGTAAAGTGAGGTGTCAAACTACGGAAAATGGCGGAGGAAATACATGATTTAGCATGGATTATCATGAATAATATTAACTACTTATTTACCTCTCAGTGTCTTGAGGCAATTTAAAAAAGTACATTCTGTGTTTCTATTATTATTTAGGCAGTTAAATATTGCACAGTATTTAGTACACCCTTTTCTTTATTTTCTTCCATTATACAGATTCAGAATACGCGTGGGTGAGTCAATGTTCGCTCGTATATGAGGCCTGGTCGAATAGTATCCTGTAGGTGGGCCATAGTGCGTGTTTTGTTTTCGATGTAAACTCGCGGAGATGAACAGGCCTGATTGTACTACTATTATGGTGCGTCCACACTGGGCGAACGGGCTCGCACGGCACGCTAGTCATCCTGCTCACTCTGCTCTTGAGTGAGCAGGATGTTGAGTTTGCCGCGCGAGCCCATTCGCGAAGTCTGGACGCACCATTATAGATCGTTTCATCCATGATGACGCGCCCCACCAATTTTTGGTCGAGAGAAGCGCGGTTCGCCGGGAGTTTGATCCGAGCAACCCAAGCGTCATTATTGTAGTGTGCGTGTGCACTCATCGATAATTTAGCGTGTACCGATAACACTCAGACATTAACGGAAGAATGGTGGGGCGCGTATTCGTGGATGCAACGATCTATACTTTACTTTTGTCATATTTAAATGGGTAGTTAACTGCTCAGGGGAATTCTCAGATGCTTAAGGCTTGGAGTATAAGTGTGGTTGTGTTCCCCAATCTATGAAGCACATGATGTGCTCTGCGTGCCAAAACAACAGCACTCAAGAATATTTAATTATTGCTACTGACAACGCCACTTTTGTAGCAGAGTTTTGGGCTGACACTGTGTAGGTTTGTTGTCGACACGACAAGAAAGATGGATAGTTAAAATCAATCGATAGTTCCAAGACACAGTTTCATTAGAAGAGCACCAGCTCTTGCTTCCAGCTCTAAAAACCTAAATCATTTTCAATTTCCTTTAAAATTTTGTCAAAGACAGAGTTTTTGAAACGAAAATCTAGTAGGCTCTCTAGACCGAAAGGTTAACATGAAATGCTGTTATACTAACCTGTTTAGATTCGAATACCCAATGCGACTTTCCGGCGTCATCCACGTAGTTCCACCACCGAAGGCCCACCAGCAGTCGACCTGCAAGTAACATCACACAATTTTCATACATCGATATCAAAATATCGTACAACACTACTTATTCTCTACATTGTTTTGTGGCTAGGTACTAGTACAGTACTAGTAGTGAACTAATGTAAGAAAAATTCCTATGCTATGCTGATGGTCATCATAAGTCTGAAACTAAGTGGTCGAGGCTTTCGTCAAGTCATACCATATTGCAATCAAGTTATTATTATCTTTCCGACTTAACTTCCTTAGCAGGAACTTTTTTCGCAGGAATGGCTAACTTGACGGCACGTCGACAGGCGTGGATCCACCGTTGTGGGCACTGTGGGCATGCCCACAACCCTAATTTGCTTGTTTTAATTATGATCTATTGATAAGATCGATAGGCATGTATGTATGTCCGGGCATGTAGTGATCCAACTCTCACTTTGCTAATTTTTGGTGGCTGTGCCCACAACCTTTTTTGAGGACTGGATCCGCGCCTGACGTCGACAGCGTGGGACATCCACCCTCAAGGTGGACCGACGACTTCATAAATGTAGCTGGATGGCGCTGGATACAGGCTTACCAATTCAACAGTGGACGTCCTGTGGCTGAAATGATGCTGACGGCATACTGTCTATGGATGGACCGAATTCAAAATGGCAATGGGCTCACCCGTGATGTTCTTGACGGTCCAGAAGTCGGCGGAGAGCAGCAGCACGACTAGCACGAAGCTGGCGATAAAGGAGTCGGAGAACCAATCGCACAGCATGTACACCACCACCGCCGAGCACCGGAACACCAGGTGGAAGAACACGATGTACGGGTGCCTGCGAGATGCTCGATAAGCTAGGACTTACTACCAAACCAAGATATAGATCGTTTCATCCACGAAGACGCGCCCCACCACCATTCTTCCGCTAATGTTTGAGTGTTATTACTTATCGGTACACGCTAAATCATCCGTGCACACGCACACTACAATAATGAAGTTTGCTCAGATCAAATTCCCCGCATACCGCGCGACCTCGACACATAAAATTGGTGGGGCGCGTCTTCATGGATGAAACGACGAAATGATACTGTAGACGTAATGCCACTATGGACCTTATGCACCAGAAGGAAAGCAAGCTATTTACGCCAAAGGGGAGCGGATCGAGGGTCTGAGGGGTTATTCGTTCCCCATTCCATTCCATTCGGGGAATTTCGATGTATTTTATACGGAAATAACACCGCACGTCTCTGTTGTACTCAACCGTTACCACTGAGTCGAGTGGAGACGAAATGGGTAAGTAACAAAGTTCCTATTGGTTGCTCATAGCACGTCTTGTCTCCTCTGACCTCGTCTCCGCCGTCTCACTGCGTCTAAGGACTGAGATACGATGTTATAGTAGTAAGGCGGACATGTCACCGCGTAGTCAGTAAGTCACAAATGATACCTAGAGCGAATGTCAGTGGCTTCATGTATCACGTATGTATGTGGCCACTGTGTGGCCAGAATCTAAGCCTAGGCGCAGACCGCCAACATTTAGTCGGCCGATAGTTGGACCCGATTTTAATCTGTATGAAGAATCGGCCGATACCATACTGATTAACAGCCCGACCCAACTATCGGCCAGCTAAAAGTCGGTGGTCTGCGCCTTAGGCTAATCTTGACCGCCATTTTTTATGGTCTGCGCCTAGTCTTACTATACTCTGGGACTTGGCCTTCACTGATTGGGTTTTTATTGGCGGTCAAGCTGTAGATCCTGGCTACACAGGAGTTGCAGCGGTGGGAACGAGAGGTGGGAATAGTCCCGTTAGTAAGTAGTGTAGTACTCACACGAACTGCTTGTTGGCGTTGTCCTCTATTCACCACCTAACTAGGCTAAATAAAGTCCCGAGGTCAGAAATTGTGTTCCACGGATTTCTCTCTACACCGTCGTTAAGGCATTCATTGACTGGACTATTCAAAAATTGAATGAAATACGTTTGACCTAGTTTAACCTAGGAGTGTATAATAAGCACTCCCGGAAAAGCTAAAATAATATTAGATGAGAATATTATCGTCTACTTAATTTGGGGAAAAAATCAAATGATACCGCGAACTAAAACAGCACAGCTCCATCTATCGGCATGAACGAACAACGAGTTGTTGCATTATGAATGGAAAGCATTGCGAGATGTAAACATCTCTACACTGTAAATAACTAATAGTGTTGTCTTAAAAAACGTTATGAAATATTAATTAAAAAAGTGTTGTATTTGCAATGAAAAAACATAATACGGTAGGTACCTAATATTTGATATCATCTATAAATTCAAACAAGTTTGTGATAGGCCCTGTAACAATAACTCCTTAGCCAATGCTGAAGCTATTTGATATGAAATCACAAGCTGGCCAAAACACGTGTACTCTATTTACCAAATCAATGCTTTCAAGTCAATGAGGGCTTCTCCCAAGTGCCGCCAGACGTCTTAGGCCACGCGTTTTACTGGTGTCNCATGTAAAGTGCCCCATAAGGGCTAACTTTTCTTTTTTATTATTTTCTATAATAATTTTGACGTTCATAAGTGCCACTTGTGGTCTAAACTGAATAAATACTTTTGATTTTTGATTTTTTTTTAATGATGGTTCAAATCAGCGGCTTTATTAAGGAACGGGACTATTCCCACCTCTCGTTCCCACCGCTGCAACTCCTGTGTAGCCAGGTAAACAGCTTGACCGCCATAAAAACCCAACCAGTGAAGGTCAAGTTTGTCCCGGGGGAAAGTTAGTGTCATTGGACCCGCAACGAAATTAATTAGAACAACACAACTATACACACAAAGTGGAAGGTTTCCAGTGATCTTTATTAAAGTAACTGACAATTTACCAATGAAAAACTCTTCTATTTATGGTAAAAACTAACAATAGCAGACATTATTGATTAGGTAGGCATTCCAGGTGTTTTCCGCGACTTTTACCGGATCGTTTTATAGCGTTACTATAGCGTTACCGGGTACCGACCGATATTATAGCCTTTTCGGGTCAAGAACTTTCTGATTCTTTCAGACGCGGGACCTGGATGCAGACAGCGCAGGACCAGTCTTTGTGGGAATCCTTGGGAAGGTCTGTCCAGCTGATGTCCTTTAGCTGTAGATGTTCTGTACCGGCAAAGTACAGCGTAAGACGTCCATCTACAAGGTGGACAGTATGATCTTAATAGAGGTTGCAGGAAGGCGCTGGATGCAGGCTGCTGCCAACCGGCTAATCTGGAAATCATTGGAGGAGGCTTAAAGTCTCCAGCGCCTTAAACAGTCAACAAAAAAATGTCAACATTCAACAAAATTCATGTTGAATGGGCAAACACGCGCTGGAGACCGCGATACGATTGGTCAAAACAACTGACGTACGTTGTTTTGACCAATCGTATCGCAGAATCGAAGAAGCGCGTCTGGACTGGAGACCTTAAAAATTACCGTAATCGGGGCTCTGACTTTAGTTCAGCACGTCCTGTGGCTGAAATGCTGATGATATCCTTTGTCTGAAATGATAGTGATAGTCAGTGTCACTCACCATCCACTCGAACTTGAGGCGGAAGAGGCAGACGACGAAGAAGAGGGCCCACACCAGCGGGCACAGCACCAGCCCCAGCCAGAACAGCCGCGACTCGTTGGCGTTCACTCGGCTCTACGACACCACGCCACTTACTTTACTCATTGTACTACTGTTATGGTGCGTCCACACTGGGCGAACGGGCTCGCACGGCACGCTAGTCATCCTGCTCACTCTGCTCTTGAGTGAGCAGGATGTTGAGTTTGCCGCGCGAGCCCATTCGCGAAGTCTGGACGCACCATTATACACTGGTCAATGGTCATCACAAAAATCGGCCCACCTACGTTTTACAGGAAAACTCGTTTCTACTGACACAATCATGGTGCCCCAACAATATTGGTGTTATTTGAAAGCCCAATAAATATCCTTAAAGAAAAACACATTTAATTTCCTAATAAACGATTAACATATACAATAAATTTGACTTGAAAAACTTGAAAAAAGACCTCACTTTGGGCTCACCTTTGGGATCAATTAGACCAATTTTTATGGTTATAAAACCAAATAATGATCTCACGTGTCCTCTTTAACAGATAGATAGCGATTAATCCCAACTTAACAGTTTTATAGCCATTAAAGTTGGCTCAAGCGTAACTACCTATTTTTTGAAGAAGTGACTCTGGATTCTGCTACAGACACATTTTTGGGGTAAAAACCTTTCCTTTAATGAAATGATATTTAGAACTAGGCTTTTAAATGGTAATATAGTATAGTAATATTGGTGGGAAGTGGGGATGCATATTACGTTTGAAAGTGCTTGTCGCGGGTGAGTCGATTTTTATGATGACCAGTGTAGATCTTTTCATCCACGAAGACGCGCACCACCAATTTTTGGTCGAGAGAAGCGCGGGTCGCCGGGAGTTTGATCCGAGCAACCCAAGCGTCATTATTGTAGTGTGCGTGTGCACTCATTAATAATTTAGCGTACCGATAACACTCAGACCTTAACGGAAAAATGGTGGGGCGCGTCTTCGTGGATGAAACGATCTATACTTTACTTTTGTCATATTTCAATGGGTAGTTAACTGCTCAGGGGAATTCTCAGATGCTTAAAGCTTGGAGTATAAGTGTGGTTGTGTTCCCCAATCTATGAAGCACATGATGTGCTCTGCGTGCCAAAAAAACTGCACTCAGGAAGATTGAATGATTGCTACTGACAAGACAACGCCACTCTTGTAGCAGAGTTTTGGGCTGACACTGTGTAGGTTTGTTGTCGACACGACAAGAAGATGGATGGTTAAAATCAATCGATATTTCCAAGACACAGTTTAATTAGAAGAGCACCAGCTCTTGCTTCCAGCTCTAAAAACCTAAATCATTTTCAATTTCCTTTAAAATTTTGTCAAAGACGAAGAGTTTTTGAAACGTAAATCTATACTTACGAGCAAAAGTATGGAATCACCCCTTTGTGTTCCGAGCGGTCTTAAGAACTGAATGACTATGTATTGTATGTATCTATGGTATCAATTTTAAGTTTATAATATCTCCTTTAAAATGGTACCATTTTTATTGATCTTCTATTAGTCATTTAGTTCTTATGATCGCTCGGAATAAATAGGGTGATTCCATATTTTTGCTCGCGAGTGTAGTAGGATCTCTAGACCGAAAGCTTAACATAAAATGCTGTTATACTAACCTGTTTAGATTCGAATACCCAATGCGACTTTCCGGCGTCATCCACGTAGTTCCACCACCGAAGGCCCACCAGCAGTCGACCTGCAAGTAACATCACACAATTTTCATACATCGATATCAAAATATCGTACAACACTACTTATTCTCAGCACTTGCCAAATGTTGGTCTCGAAGCGCTGGTAGGGTAAAAAGATTATGAGACATGTAGAGGCTCCTTAAGAGCAAAATGACGATTTGTAAGAACTATTTATTAGTCCAAACAAATAAAGAAATTTTGACTTTGACTTTTGACTTTGACTATTCTCTACATTGTTGTGTGGCTACTGCTAATGAACTAATGTAGGAAATATTTCTATGCTATGCTGAAGGTCATAAGTCTGAAACTGGTCGAGGCATTCATTATGCCATACAATACTGCAATCAAGTTATTGTTCTCTTTCCGACTCAAAACTTAGCAGGAACTCCTAGCGCAGGAATGGCAAACTTGACGGCACGTCGACAGCATGGGACGTCCACCCTCAAGGTGGACCGACGACCTCGTAAAGACAGCTGGATGGCGCTGGATACAGGCTTACCAATTCAACAGTGGACGTCCTGTGGCTGAAATGATGCTGACGGCATACTGTCTATGGACCGCATTCAAAATGGCAATGGGCTCACCCGTGATGTTCTTGACGGTCCAGAAGTCTGCGGAGAGCAGCAGCACGACCAGCACGAAGCTGGCGATGAAGGAGTCGGAGAACCAATCGCACAGCATGTACACCACCACCGCCGAGCACCGGAACACCAGGTGGAAGAACACGATGTACGGGTGCCTGCGAGATGGTGCTCGATAAGCTAGGACTTACTACCAAACCAAGATATAGATCGTTTCATCCACGAAGACGCGCCCCACCACCATTCTTCCGCTAATGTTTGAGTGTTATCACTTATCGGTACACGCACACTACAATAATGAAGTTTGCTCAGATCAAATTCCCCGCATACCGCGCGACCTCGACACATAAAATTGGTGGGGCGCGTCTTCATGGATGAAACGACGAAATTATACTGTAGACGTAATGCCACTATGGACCTTATGCACCAGAAGGAAAGCAAGCTATTTACGCCAAAGGGGAGCGGAGCGAGGGTCTGAGGGGTTATTCGTTCCCCATTACCACTGAGTCGAGTGGAGACGAAATGGGTAAGTAACAAAGTTCCTATTGGTTGCTCATAGCACGTCTTGTCTCCTCTGACTTCGTCTCCGCCGTCTCACTGCGTCTGAGGACTGAGATACGATGTTATAGTAGTAAGGCGGACATGTCACCGCGTAGTCAGTAAGTCACAAATGATACCTAGAGCGAATGTCAGTGGCTTCATGTATCGCGTATGTATGTGGCCACTGCGTGGCCAGAATCTAAGCCTAGGCGCAGATCGCCAACTTTTAGTCGGCCGATAGTTGGACCCGATTTTAATCTGTATGAAGAATCGGCCGATACCATACAGATTAACAGCCCGACCCAACTATCGGCCAGCTAAAAGTCGGTGGTCTGCGCCTTAGGCTAATCTTGACCGGCATTTTTTATGGTCTGCGCCTAGTCTTACTATACTCTGGGACTTGGCCTTCACTGATTGGGTTTTTATTGGCGGTCAAGCTGCAGATCCTGGCTACACAGGAGTTGCAGCGGTGGGAACGAGAGGTGGGAATAGTCCCGTTAGTAAGTAGTGTAGTACTCACACGAACTGCTTGTTGGCGTTGTCCTCCTCGCCGAAGGCCAGCGTGTCGTCGTCGAGCAGCGGCACCTGCGGCACGCCGGGCTGTAAGTACCGTCGCTCCGTCAGCAAGCCGTGCAAAGCAAACGCAACGCAAACGCAACACAAACGCTAACGCTACGAGCGGGCGCGCGGTCTATCAAAACTAAAGCAATACTCGGCGCAGACTCGTGGCAGGCGATGTATTATAAAAACAGGGCATGACGTTTTTTCTCGCTCTCACACTGGTTATGGGTGACGTCACAGAGGCAGGCAAAGTTTTGTTTCTAATACCTAATATTATTGAATACTAGCTTTTGCCCGCGGCTTCACCCGCGTGAAATTTCGTTTGTCACAGATCGTCATAAATTATAGCCTATATGTTATTCTAGGTTATAAACAATAATACTGTAAAGTTTCATCAAAATCCGTTCAGTAGTTTTTGCGTGAAAGAGTAACAAACATCCAGACATCCAAACTTTCACATTTATAATATTAGAGTACTGATTATTATTCTGTGATATTAGTAACAAAAAGAATATTGGCGAGTGTGCATCTCTGTTTCAAAAATTACTTATAGCCCTGCCTGCCACGAGTTTTTGCGTCGAGCATAATTTTTAGGGTAGTTCGGACTACTAATTGATTGAGATTTTTGTATGAACAGTCATAATTAGATTAGCATTGATTGTTACTACAGAACACTATGATTATAAAAACACAATCTCAACTCAAGACACTTGGGTGTGGTGGGTGACTGAATTAACTATTGTTTTTAGTATATGAGCTATGATAGTGGTTAACTTTTTTAAGAAGTTCTGAAAACTAATTTTAACCCCTTCTACACATGTCCACTGTCCAGTGTACTAACAAAGTAATATTTACCCTGACAATTTATATAGATGCAAAGAATGTGTCCTTCTTGACCTACACAACACAACGCTGGTCGTACAAAGTTCATATTGTGTGTGCAGGACGACTAGGGTTTAAATGACAAATTGCTCTCATTGAAGCATTGAATTGTTGTTATTTTTAGTATCAAGGTGACTGTTATTCATCCATTCAATCTTAATCTGAGAAAATGTAAAACTGATGATTCCCAATATAATGTAAACATTTGTGTTGAATAGATAAGTTTAAAATTTAAATTGGATATAAGAGGGAATCTATCTATCCAAGATACCTAGTCTAAATATTGAAATTCTTATAATCTTTGATGGCACATTGTAACACAGTGATTCTCACTTAGAATAGGTAGATTTCTTTAACTGCACATCTAACTAAAGTAAAAAAAAAGTACTAATTTGCGCACTATTATAACTTTTTCTACAGCATTCAAACTACTACTAAAAGTGATGATTTCTTGATTAATAAATAATATGTATGACTTGACAGTCTTCTAGAAATCCTCAAAATATTCTAGTTAAGATAGCTTTACTTTTTAATTAAATAGGCTTCAAAAACATTATTATTGTATGTTTTCAAGCACACATTAAGAATCAAAAGATGTAGCTCAGCCACAGACAGTAAATTAGGTAAGGAATATGCAGCAAGCATTAGGTATGAGTGATTAGGTAAACAGAACTGTCTCTAAGTTTTTCTAGTCTAAGAGACTGCTAGGTATGGAAAAATATTTTGTAAGAAATGGGTCTTAGGCAAGAAACAGGCAAGACAGTTGAGACTAAATAATACAACATCAAATATCTGCTTTAGTGCAGTTTTATTGCTGAACCATGTGGTACAATATGTTAGAATACAAGGTCTCATTAGAAACAGCTTAAAACTGTCTGTGATGGTCCATACCAACTGATTGATTTGTTAAACTACTGCATGTGCGCGTTTGTATATTAAGAGTTTCGTTGCAATCAATACAGCTAATTATAATCAGCTAGCGATAAAAGTACATGGGGTAAAATTAACACCTGCGCCTTGGGAGAAATTCAAAATATGATCTTTCAATTTACTTTGTGTAAATTATCATGATAAAGGATTATGCTGTTAAAACGCTTATAAGGCGTAATTATAGCGCAATTAAGGCGAATATTTCGTTATTTTTAAGCCATTTCGTCGTATTTTTCCGCAGTTATGTTCTAAAATAACAATACTCACAGTTGCCGAATTCATGTTTGGATTATTCATTTCTTCACTATAACTCAAGTATAAAACTTAGCTTTATTGTTTAAAGTAGTTCAAATCAGTAACAACAATGTATTTTCTTTAGATAAACTCAAAAATCTAGGTAGGTATTCTGAATCACAAAATTAGTGGAATTCGCTGACGTTTCATCAAATGTGATGTGACAGATCAACAGATGTGACATTGTTGACAAGTGACGTTTTCGTTTTGAAATTAAAATACCCGCGGTCTACCCTAGGATTAAAAATTCTATGATAGATCACGCAACGAAAATTGAGGCTTACACGTACTCGCACTGGTGTAATATTTGAATACAGTAACACACAAACAAGTCTGCACATAATCAATCAAGTTCAAAATATCAAATACACTAATCTCGCTCTTGATGTCTGCAACTTGTGAGACAGACAGAAGTAGGATAAGTCTAGACAAGTGGCATTTTTTGATCGAATTAAAAATCAGATCCCTTCATGGCGCGATTAAAAAAATGGCCCTTCGATCGTCTTTACTATCGACATTAAACTGTCTGTCACGTTTTGCGCCTTGTCCAGTGCCCCGAATACGCTAATTTTTAACGTCTCCAATACATACGCGCTTCTTCTCCAGTTGCGCTCCGTTTTTCATTCCAGCTGAGGTGCAAATTTGGTATCACGGTAATGGACGTACCTTCCTAGTATTTTCATTGTCACATGAGATATTTAGTTTTACCACAGAATATTAATAAGTACTACGTTTTACGTTTACGTATTTATATGCTTCGTTTCTTCAACTAGCTGTCAAAACGACCACCGCGATACGGATTTATCAAAACAGCTGAAGTTCGTTCGTCGTCCGGGCACATTGAAGATGAAAAATTTTAGCGTAATCGGGGCCCAGGGGAGCTGGACTTATCTTTTCAAACCGTTAATGAGCATCTAGCGATACAATACAAATATCTTTGCTTGTGTTGTTGCAATGTTGCATAGATAACTCTATGCGTTGTTGTGTTGATGGCCTAGGTACTTGTTTCGCGCGCGACCTTTACCAGCACAATTGAATTAATTTGAATAAACTTTTTAATCATTTATGCTATAGCGATAGTTTTTGCTATAGCGAGCAAAAAATAAACTTTGTAACATGTTTAGGCCGGATCTCCAGCGCGTTTTATCCTACACAATCAACAAAAACATATTCAACATTAATTTTGTTGAAGTTGACATGTTTTTGTTGATTGTGTATGGCCGGCAAAACACATAAATGTTAATGTGTTGTTTGTGTTCTGTTTCAAATATTAACATCATCAGTGCGCTCACAGATGCAAGTACTTACTTACGTCGCGCGCGTTCATCTCAACTTTCATTGAGTGACCTATAGATTTTTTTTTTAATCACAAACTTTTGTAATTTTGGTTTTGTTAAAGTTGTGTATGTTATGGCTGCTGATGTGACACAAACACAGCTCGTGCAGCAGAAGCTATATTAATTTTCATAAACTTTTTGAAAGAAAGAAAGAAAGAAAGAAAGAAAAAATATTTATTTGGTACTAAAATAATGATACACATTTTTGTTGGTAATGAATGGCTATTTACTATTACTTTTTTTCTTTGTTTTTTTATTTGTTGTTTAAAAAAGTAAGTGGTTGTTTTGTTGATAGTTTCCGTTTCTGAACGAACAAAAACTTGCGCAAACTGTCAGCAGCTCACTTCATACAAGAGGGAGAACTGTCAAAAATTTGCAGGAAGGCACATGCAAGCGCTGTTTACAATTTTGGTACTCTACGCCACCTCCGTGTTTGTTGTTTAGCAGTGTTGTTATCCTATCGTGACGGGCCGTAATCGCCGGGGTCGCGTACCATGCCTCCTGCCGCAGCGGGCGTCGCGCCGCCGTCGCGTTCGTGATACATCGCGTATGACGGGTGTGATTTTTGCGTAACGTAAAGTCGCCATGGGCGCTAAGCCGAGCACCGCGAACGGGGGGCAGAGTCCGCGCGCCAGGACATTCTCGACGAGCTCCAGTTCGGAGGTGGTGTCGGGGGGCGCGGGCTTCAGCCTGCTGCGAGCGATCCCGGGCATCCAGGTGTCGAGCGACCGCCAGCGCGCGCGCTCGCTGTCGTCGGTGCCGGACCTGCACGCGTCTCACGAGGCTATCGCCATCCCGCCCAACTCGGCCAGCTACGAGGCGTCGGCGGCCGCCAGCCCCGACACCGACTCCAGCTCCAACGAGGAGGCGGCGCCCGCGCCCGGCACGTCGCTGGCGCTGGGCCGCGTGTACGCCGCGCACTCCCTGCCCTCACATATCTGGTCCATTAACGGTGAGTTCTGCACGCTTATTCGGGCTCGCGCGACAAACTCAACATCCTGCTCACTCAAGAGCAGGGTGAGCAGGATGACCAGCGTGCCGCGCGAGCCCTTTCGCCTAGTCCGGACGCACCATTAGACACACAGGAAACATAGTCGACGATCAAAAACCATGTTTAGGTCCTGTATTGTTCTGCGATAGCAGTAGCATTTGGGAAAAACATAACAAAAACAAAGGGCACCTCAGCCCAACCTTGTGCAATCTGATAAAGACCTGATGAGTGGGGAAAATCACGGCGTAATTATAACTTTTCGTGAAGTAGGTAGTGTGATGATACGTGCTAAGTGACGTGCTTATCAGTGAAACAACCTTGAGTGGTGTGTTTTGTTATTATTTAAGATTAGGTAATAGGCAACATATCTTTAGTGAAATGTGAGCAAATAATTTTTATTACATGTAAAATTATTTCTCTACATCATTTACATAAATCATCAAGAAAATGTTAACACCCACTAACTATTCATTAAATGTTTTTGAACTTTTGCACAACAAAAATTGATTTTAATAGGTTTTTTATTTTATTATGATTTGAATGTTGATAAAAGGTGATATCAGCTGTTTTCTGTTGTCGGTTAAAACTTGCTAGTTCAAAGTCAAAGTCAAAGTCAAAATTTCTTTATTTGTTTGGACTAATAAATAGTTCTTACAAATCGTCATTTTGCTCTTAAGGAGCCTCTACATGTCTCATAATCTTTTTACCNAACTTGCTAGTTGTAAATTCTCCTCATACAACCTCAGATAACTGGAGCCGTTGGTCTCCTAATCATAACCCCGATGTTGTTAAATTATGATCCACTAGTTTGTAGTAGCTCTTTCACAATTACAATTAACTTTGGTTTAAAATTTTATCTTGGAGCTTATGTCACACTTCATTATGCTAACTTTCCCTTGTCTACCAACTTACCATAAAAAGTCTTTTTTTTACATTAGTATGGGAACATGCAGTAAGTTTTTCAACTCAAAAAGAAAACTTTATTCAATGTAGGTAGTTTCTGAATCTACTGAGCACAGTAATTAGTATGTAGTATCAAAAGTAACATGTTTATCACTTTTATAACCACATCCGTGGTGACAGACAATGATAGAGTTGGTATGATACAATAATTTTAGTTGAGGTAAATTAAACGAATCAGTGCTGATTGTTGTTGTTACATAATAATTTAGTCCAAAATTTTATTAACAATGCACACAAAAATAACACTAAAATAGCTACTCCATTATCTTAATTATGATAATCATGTTTTACTGATGTAGTTAGTGTTAATTACCTGTTGCAGAAGTATTTATTTTTGAAAAACAACATTTTATGCAAAGGAGGATAGTTTTATGTTTATCTTTATAAACTTATAATTATGTATAAAACATCCTCTCTTTCCTACCAGTTTGACCTGTTTATTAAGCTCTTGATTTTTTGGATTACCATTTCTGATGGCATTTCATTGAAATTAAATATCCATATTGATATTTTGTACTGCCCCATATTACCCCAAAATAAACAAAATTGTTTCTAAACCTGTGGAAATGTTCAATATTTGAAACAACTTGCCAATATTCAGATACAAGAATAATTGTCTTAATCCCCTAACAAGAGTGTTACAAATTGGTGTACCAAATTGAATATTGCAATCAATCACTTCAGTCTGCATAAAACACTGGCCAAGAATAAAACGGCGATCGTACGGCCATCGCGTTCAATCCCCCGAAATATAAATCAGTGAACTTTTGATAGTCGAAATTCGCAAGCACATTCGTCTAGCAGCTTTCGTGGGCTATAATAAATCGCGGCCGCTTTTCCGGGTTGGGTCTGCGCCTACGCAGCTTTCCTTCAGTCGTGTCCCGGCATCCCTCGCGAGCGGTCGTGTTAGTCGCTGCAGCCAGCATGTATCGCCGCCGGTACCGCACCACCCTGGGGCTGGGCCTCGGGTCCTCCTTCTCATCAAGTTTCTCCACGACGCTGTCGTTCAGAACCAGCACCACGACGACAGCCACGGACACCGTCAGATCTGATGCCAGAGCCACAGCAGCCAAACTGAAGTCCAAGTATGAAAACGCTGGAACTGCTCAGGGTGCGTTTTTTGGACCTATGTTTTATCTTATCATTCGGACTTATCGTCCAGTTAACTTTTGGACAGCTAGTCTAGTGTTTTTAATCTTTTGAATAATTTAATAAAAAGTGATATCATGGCAATAATAAAGAAGATCGGAGAGTTTTGATCAAATCTTCAATTGGGGGACTCAATTGTCGCATTCAGGCATGGCAAACTGGGGTGCTGTTGAAAAATATAGGACAAAGCTGTTCTGGCGATAACATACAGGCCAAGAGCTTCCTCGTTGTGGATAAAAAAAAAACTTCAAATGAGAAACCGTCGTGGGAGATTAACATCTGTCGTATTTTTATTTGCGGCTACATTTGGAAATTTTAAAATACACTCACTTCCCGATAAAACTGAGAAGTGCTAAATTTAATGAGAATCCTTGTGTTGTCGCTCATTTGTACTGGTGTCACGTCTCTTTATAATTTATTTTGGGTTGTCTTGCGTTTCGTTAACATTTTTCACGTATATTTTCAAGTAGTACCGGTAAAACTGGTCGGTTACTGCCTTTAGCAATCTTTTTAGATCCAACCAGACCAGACCACCCATTTCTTGATCTAAGTAGATACTTCTGCATTTTCAAGACAACCTAGAAAAGCTTTGAACTCCTCCTATGTTCTTCTGATTAATTTCGTTGCGGGTCCAATGATAGTTAACTTTCCCCCGGGACAAACTTGACCTTCACTGCTTGGGTTTTTATTGGCGGTCAAGCTGTAGATCCTGGCTACACAGGAGTTGCAGCAGTGGGAACGAGAGGTGGGATTAGTCCCGAAACCTAGAAAAGCTGATTTGACTGTTTATGTGATTTTCCTGAATAGAATCATCTCAATACGATAGAAGCAATAATGTTTTCTTTTCATTGCTTGTATCTACTACACTGCTGTATTTTTGTTGTGGATCAATATTTTCTGGCATCTTGACAAATCTTATCAACTTTCTTGAACTCACGCTCAACTGTGCACAACATCTTTAAACTTCTGCAGTTTTTAGTTTTCTACGACATTCAAAACAGTCCCGTTTCTATTTATCATTCCCATTTGACATTTAACTGTTGGTTGATCTAGTGCGGTCGTAAAGTTATTAGTTTAGAGGCGTCAGTCCCGCTCCGCAGAGCAGTTAATGTTGATACCAATTTAATGGTTATGGTTTCAGTGGAAAATGCGTGGTGTCCCGGATTATACGTCAAACGGTTACTATCGGCGATAGTCGATCCCCTTGGGAAATGTTTGTTTAATTATACTAGAGAGCTAGTGTTTAGGGGTAGTATCGATACAGTTTCTGGCGATTCCATCATAGTAAACATTTGTTTCAACAAATTTTGGCTACTTATAAGCAGGGTTCGAGGATATATATCAAGGGATATATATCAAGATATATATCGGATATATATCCGATATATATCAAGCCGGTTTTGACGATATATATCAATTTTTAAAATTTGTTACTGTATTTGTACTTTTTGACATAAGATTTTTATTTTTTTAGTTGATTTTGCCGTATTTAAAGAATATTTTATGTTTTTGCTTTATTTGTCTGATTTTAAGTCATAAAAACATTAAAAACATGTTTATTTAACATATATGCAATAGTATTCATAAATAATACAATAAAATAATAGTATGGCTTTCATACAAAATTGATATATATCAAAGTTGATATATATCGGATATATATCATAAATATCCGATATTTTGATATTTATAATAAATATCGGATATTTTCGAACCCTGCTTATAAGCCAATTAGGTATAAGTTGAAATCGATAATAGTAACACCATGATTGTTTTTTCACATACTATCCTTCCTGTCATGTACTTTTCCAGTTAGAACTAAGTCACTGAACTCAGTTTGACCAGTTTGACTTTGTTTGTAAACAAACTTTTAGAATAAAGAACGACCTACCTATATCAGCATCGGCGAAAATTGCATAACAAAAAAAGATATAATAATACTACAAAACATTTATCAACTTAAGCACAAGTTTTCCTTATGTATTGATGTGCCTAACATATTTCTTTTAGCATTGAAACAGCTATTAATAGAATTCGAAGAAGTAATCAGTAAGTCCGGGCTTTAGTTGCGTAGGCCTACATACATAAAGTTCTTCCTACCGTCCACGTAAACCCCGCGGTAACATTTGTTCGTAACGATCTGAGTGATTGTAAAACTTGGACACGCGACAGAACAATAAAACCTTTTTCTTATTAAGTAACATTGGAACAAATGGCAGACGGTATTGAGCGAAACTGAAGCCGAAGGTCTTGGAAAACATCAGGTTGTTTTATCCGAAGGATAAGGTACCATTTCGTCGTGTAAACATGATGCCCACAAACAAACCAATTACTTGCGATTGTATCCATATACCTGTAGGTAGAATATAATAATATACCTATCTATGCTCGTGACAGTGACTTCACAGAAGATATTTAGGACACACGGGCAATTATCCTGGGATTTAGGTGGGAAGAGTTATTTAGGCCGTTAGTTCTTGCAAAATTGTGCGAACAGATGCCTAGCAAAATGTTAAGATAGGTTATGGTTTGTGAAACTGGAGATGGCACTGGAGATAAATTCAGGCACTTTAGTATTTTAAGTCTTCTTTGACAGTCATTCAAGAGACTCAATTAATACTTTTTTGTAAATTTTTTGGAATTTTCTTCGCTTTGCTTTTTATTGTTCAGAGGTGGAATTGTGTAAATCAATCGTAATCGTTTGACAGTTCATATCGTACGATAAAGTCAGTTAAACAAAGCGTTTGATAGACCAATCGTACGATATGAACTGTCAAATGATTACGATTGCTGTACACAATTCCACCTCTGACCTTTCCATCTGAGATGTTTTAAACACTTCTTTCTCA